AATTAATGCAGATGGATTATGGGCTTTTGATTTGCGCGAAAGGGTGAGACCGCGCTCCAATACCTATAGGACTCCGGGGCCAATGTTGCATCGTTATGGAAACAAGTTATATTTTGACCTCAACTTGTATGGATACCCTTACGTTTTTCCGAATGAATTTTACACGCGCACGCCAAACCTTTGCGTTAAATTGTAATTTGGAAATTTCCTACGCGAAAGAAAGCTCACTCGCAGAGAAAGTTATACATTTGTTAAAGTCCGCTCTCGAAAGTAACAGCTAAATCAATAGCCTCCGCGAACTACGCAGCCATAGAAAATAACGAGAACACATTTAAATCACGCCACTTAGACGTCCAGGAGCTACGCGGCCAACTCTATGGGTACATTAGGGCGTATGCGAAATTATACGGGGTACATTACAGTTGTACCCGGTTACATGTACGTGAAAAGGTTATAAACAATGGGCCGTCCATTCTCCCTGGTATACACCTGACTTTATGGCCCCGCTCAATAATAATACACTGTGTTATAACACATGCAGCGCATAATACGCTCCAACACGTCATTCGCAGGCGGCTCTCCCGGAGCTTTGGAAATTAAACGAGCTCGTGTATATAGCGCGCAAAAGCTCGAAATGACCGTCCATTTGGGACGCCGGCGATCATTAGCTCGAAAATTAATAGAAAAAGGCGTCCCTCGAGGCAGCCCGTGGGACAAGAACTCGTTTGCCCTCCTTGGGCGAGCCAGATAAGCGCGGCCGCGAAATTAACGTCCGTCCCGAGACTGTACCGGCAACATGATTGCTCGGCGCTTGAAAAACGAGCGCCCGGGGACAGGTGCAATCAACGAGCGATTTTCGGGAGCAGAGGTTGTACCCGCGAGCGCTTTACCCCCGGGTAATTGACGTTTTTGCGATGGAGCCGCGCCTCGTTAAACACGCCCGCGTTTACGTGGCTTGTTGGCGATTGTTTGCCTCTCTCTCTCTCTCTCTCTCTTGACACGGGTACATGTTTGTATAATTTGACCTTAGTGCCGGGTGTGAAGTTTCACCGCGTTTTAACGCCCATCGGGTGGGGCTCGAGATTCAATTTGGACTGCGATTATTTCGGCGGTGCCCAAAGGGACGAGCACCAATCGGTGCACTCGACGCTTCGATCGACAAACGAGAGTGTAAACCGATTAGAGTGGCGTTAAAATTTCACACCAAAAAGAGAGGAAGAAAAAAAAAAGGTTGACAAAAGCTCGCGCGAACTCGACATTGGCCGAAAACAATATCGAGGCCCGGTGTCGTGAGAGGGTCATTACGCGCGGGGGGGCGAGGGCGTAATGGAAATCGATAATTGATCGGTCGCGCGTTCCCGAGAGCAGGTGGGCGTGAGAGCTTTCGGATGGCGGGCGGATACCCTAATTGACTCTTGAATATTTATAATTAAGGTATTACCGGCGAGAGTGCGATCTCTTATACTCCATTCCCATTCGCGAACGTTAACCCTCTCTTCGGGTGGTGCCCTCTAATGCTCGTCACTTGATCACCCTGCACGTAATAGTTTTACTCGAGGGGGGTATATTTGTTTTTTTTTTCCATTTTATCGAAAGATTATTCAGAGAAGAATGAGATTTTTTAGATCGCGCAAGTTGTACCGTGGATACGTAATTTTGTCATTACAACGGGTAGGGTATCGAAAAGTAATGAAATTACATGGTTTTCCGTGGTAATCGAGTATGGGAACCGTTAGTGGCTGCCGATTTTATTAAAATCCACCAGATTAACGAGAGGAAGCACCCATTTATTAACGGCTGATACAGCGTTAGCTCCATGAATATCGATCTCACGTGGATTACGTATGTGTATACAATATGTATACCCGAGAAGATTTCGAACGTCGCGTTGATTACACCTGAAGTTACGGCGCCGTTGATCGATAAATCATCAATAATTAAATAATTGCATCACCACCTTGTGTTGCTTCCAGCGAGGTTATACCGCCCGTGTGTCGGTGAGCGTGCGGTTTCGCGACCAACCATCATCCGATGTGATGGAAACCGATCGAGAGTAACACCTGCCCTCGCACGTATTCAAAAGCGATTAATTCTAGAGCATCTACAGTCAAATTACTTGTACATTTCCAAATAGTTTCACGGCACATTAATTTACTGTTGATTTTTGTTTAATTATCCAACTTTTATGAAATACACGAGCCCTCAAAACGTCAGAGATCGTCTGTCGATCCAGAAAGAAAAAAAAAAAAAGGAGTAATATAACGCGTCTGAGCTCTTCTGCGCCGAAAATAAAGTACTTATGACCTTAAATGGACGGCAAAGATTCTGCGTCAATTTGTCTGGCGACTAATTGCATTCCCGGTGGCGGACGTCGGGACGGGTTATAGGAAAAAATGTTATTCCGCTCCGTCGACTCCCCCGGCCTACATAATTTTCGTCCTTTCGGCGGAAAAGATCACCGGTGCATTTTACACCCCGCAAATACCTGTAATTAAAGGCGATTCCTTCCCTGGCAATTTGAAAAAGGACACGAAACGAGGCCAAATTGTCAAGCCTCGTTGACTTGACTATGTATTTCAACAAGGGGTTTGGCCCCGTAATTTCCTGCATAATAACGTCAACGGCACTCGCCGCAGCCCCTATATGAACTCTCAATCAGAAGCTCAAAGCCACACCGAGGGAAAACAAAAACAACACGCGCGGGAGGGGGGGAGGGGTCATAAATATCAGGCGCGCCGACAGGCAACAAGCCCAAAGTGGTCACTCTCTCTCTCCCCCCCCGGCGCGGGATTTTCAAGTCCGACAAACTCGCGCGATCGTTCGGCGGCCGATATACGTATCTTACCTTTTGCTCCCACTCGGTGAACCCGTGGCGTGCACGTATATACCCCCGAGGAGAAGAAGACGACTCGCGTACACGCGCGTAAATTTACATATTCATGCGATTGCAAACTTCCCTCGCGCGCTACACTCTCGCAACTTTGAGTTTATCGAACTCGGGGGAGTAGGTCGGAGGGAGTATCGTATTAATAAAGTTTGAGCGCGGCGGGGGGGGGGCAAATCTACCCCTCTCCCTTGGCTCTGCGATTAAATATTCCATAAACAAATGGCCGGAGCGGCTGCGACTCGCGCACGTGATAAATTTCTAAGCATCGGCGCGAGTTTCGTTGTTGCGAGTGGACGAGGTGGGCTTCCGCGTATGGCTCAAAAGTTTAGCCTATACGTACACGCTGTGCGTTGCGGTTATTGGCCCGATCCAGTGCCGATTTTATGTCTGTACTTATGGACACGGCTTTTAAGGACAACCGGTGTGTTCGATATGCTCGATATTGGATTTCTATGACGTAGGCGAACTCTACATTGAATTCATTTGCAATACTACACGCCAAATGGAATGTCCTCCATTACTTGGGATCTTCTCTTTTTTTTGGGCATTTAATGACGTTACCCAAGAGTTCTGCTGCTTCCTTATTGTAGCGAAGCCTACGAGAGCTTCGTGAACTAATTCAGTGGAGCTGCGCGTGTGGCAAAGGGACACGTTCCTTTGTCCCGTGCCAAAAGCGTTTCATTATCGTTAGTTCCTCCTCCTCCTCCTCCAGCTATCTGTTTCGCGAGAAATCGTCGCAAAGTCAGTTGCCACTTGGTAACGAGAGCCGAGGGGCTGGTGCACCCTGGCAGTGCGTAGCTGATGCTCTTTGGGCAACATTCCAGAGAGTCAACGATCGGCGTGTTTCGTGCTTTTTTCCCCCCACTGGAGCTTTCGTCATTGTATTGCCTGGCGCAGGTATAACTCTCACGGTAAAACGATTCTCGACCCCGTTTTCGTCCTCGCGGATATTGAAAGCAACGAGGGACCAACTGCCCTCCCGCATCTTCCTCCGCTTCAATTTCATTAAAAATATTGCCACTCACTTCGATCGCTCAAGCTTTCATCCCCTCCCTCCCCGCGCTTGTATCGACGGAAACTCCTCAAAGTCCGATCAAACAATTTCCCGGTCCGGAAAGACATATATTAGCGCGCGCAATATACTCACTCCCCACCGGTACGATGTACACTTTACGAGCGAGCAATCGTTTAAATCCGCTCTGTGTTTTATACAGGCGTCTGTATGTACCGCGCGTCTCTCGCAACTTTGTTTGTCCGCAAGGTCGATCCAAAGTGAGGTATTGACGCGTGAAAAAATAATAAACGTTACGAGCCAAAGTCGCGCGGTAGACGTCTGCCATCGAGGGCGAAAGCTGAGGTCATTTCCTGTATATCGGGGGGAGGGGGTCAGCGTGTTATATTGCGCCGACATATAGAGGGGCTTATAGGCTTCTCTCATCGTGGCGTCGGATCTAAAATCCCCGGCTTTCCTTTTTCGGCTCCGCCTGTCTTTCCTCGATGCTCGGATATCCGGGAAAATGATTTTGCTCTCGACGCCTGTTGTGGACTACCTTCTCACATTCTTGGTGGTCAAAAGCTCGGTGGGCCATGATCTTTTCTTTTCATCCGAAAGTTGCAGAAGATTTTACGGGCCACCTGAGCTGAGTCTAGTTTTTCACGTAAAGGGATCGTGTTTGGGTCATTTTTTTTCTGATCAAACAAAATATATTGTATTTGTTTTTTGTTTTTTTTTTTTTGTTTTTTGTATCAAAAGTACTGCGAAAGAAATTTATACAAGTATGAACCGAAAAAAAGTTTATCAACTATACCCTTTGATACGGTGTACCGATAAGATAAATTTTAACGATAGAATGAAATATTTTAGGGAGTCCTTGGCGCGATATTACACCGATACAGTAAAAAAACAAAAAAAAATCACCCTTTACAAACGCCACACCGCATTGTCACCTTCCCCGGCAACACGAATGTTCACGCGACAGTAAAATATCACTTGAGTGCCAAAAGCCTCGCACGGTATGATTCCCGGATACAATCAAGAGCGCTTGTCCCCACCACAGTCCAAAACTCCGCACGGTATGATGTACTAACCAGCTGACATGTCTAATTGTTTCAGGTCGCTGCTGGTGCTCCTCGTCCTGGTGGCCTCGCACGTCACAGATACCCAGGCCCGATACGTAAGTACACATATATACATATATACATTGCACACAATGGCCAGTCCCCCTTTCCCTCTTCCCTATCCCCACGACACGTATAATTATGACGTCAGACGCAGACAAGACTTTGAATTCAAAGTTATCCGCGAGATTGAACAATCGTGGAGGGAGCGTATATTGTAATGTATGACCCTCTGAGCCATAGAGATGTGCCTACGCCCGCACATTTACCCAGTATACGTCTCGCGACAGTGGGAGAGAAGAAAGGAAAGAGAGTCGTAGCATATGCACGCGCGTACTTATACTTCTTAGGTAACTACACTCGCGGCCTTGGCGATTGCGGCCAATGGTATGCTCTGGCGTGTGATTTTTTTTTTTTTTTTTTTTTCATTCTGCATCGNTTTTTTTTTTTTTTTTTTTTTTTTTTTTTTTTTTCAGCAAGCATCAGGTACACAACGGACTCTCCGAGCTAGCTTTTATTGCTCTCTTGCTCTGCCAAGCGCCTTTCAGTATATACGTATATGATTTCATACTCTCGCTTTCGTCTCTCTGTATGTATACGTGCTCCTTTTTTTTTTTTTTTTTTTTGTATTCCCCCTTACTTATTGCAAACGGAGCCTTTGGTTGAAAAATTACACGCGCCGCGAGAGCAAATGAATTTGATTTCAGCTCGAGGATGCACGAGCGTATACGTTTACGAGTTTCCGGGCGCTTGAAAATTTCTCATTAGCGCAGCGCACCGTAAGATATATCGTATATTTAATATGACTGCGTTCCACCTTGCCCTCGATGGGAAAATTTTAATTACCAGCGTGCACGGCATCCAAATAAAAACATTGGGTGTACATATACTCGAGGAAAACGGTGGGTCATCGTGTGCAATATCTGCCGGGACCTCTTCCCCGCGCGCACGAGAACCACTTACGCAAATGAAGAGTCGCGCACGCGAGCTCTTGCTTCTCGTATCTACGGTTTTTTTTAAATATTTTCACGTATTTGCTCCACAAATGAGGGAGAGACGGTGAAAAAGCCAAAAATAATCTCGGATATGTATATTTATTCGAGCGTGCTATTAAAAGAGAAAAATCGCGCAAAAAAAAAAAAAAAAAAAAAAAAAACAGCGCGGCCGAGCGTGTGGCGCGTTTAATCGATGGTAATTCAAATCTATATATACCTATATTATGGGCGTGCTTGCACAAATAATTTATCTCTACGTATATATAGAGCGCTCTCGTGCTCACCCACGTATCATCGGGCTTCGAGTCCATTGTTTACTCTGCGCGCTTGTTCGTTCGCACTCTATCGCGTCATCGCTTTGGTCGTGTTTTTTTGGCTCTGCTCGGATTTTTTTGGATCGCTCGGTAATTACCTGTGTGGTAAAAATGTACTTTTTTTTTTCTTTTCTTTTTTTTTGGGAGAAGAATTTTTCATAAACTTTGTACAAAAACCTCGCACTTTACTGCACTTATCAAAAGTTGAACCATGTCGAAATTGAAAGATTTTCCTTTGACTTGTACCTTAGCAAAGTGTTTTCATTTTTCAATTATTGGTTTGAAGGTTAAAAAAAAAAAAAAAAAAAAAACTTTTAATTTCATTCGCGTAACATGGCCGGAACATCAAAACAAAAAGCTTTGCTTTTGTAAATTCGTTGTCTTCGTCAGATCCTTACACATATACAAGTATAAATGTTGAAAAACATTATATGAAAATAAATAACACGTCTTATGATTGGTTCAATTTACACGTAGATAGTTTTCAAAGAACGCCCCTAATTGGTCTCACCTGGGAAAGATAAAAAACGAGCAAAAAGTTGAGATGAGTTTAATCAATCTTTTGGGAAAAGAACACCTGCACCCCAAGGCTCTCGAGTAGACGGTATTCCCCTTAATAGTCACGGGTGCATTGGGAGAGGTATGCGCGTTGTGCTCCAAAACTTTTCGACTTCTACGGGCGGGTGTTTGAAAAAATTAATTTTCATGAAAACGCGAAAAAGTCGCGCTAAAAAGTTCGCCCAAGGTAAACGTCACATTTATTTTCGAGAAGCGCCGCCTACGATCGCGTAGGTGTATACGATCGAAACTTTCGTTGTAAAGGCGCAAGTAAAAACTTTTTTAACGATTTTTATTTTTCCCTGTACACCCTATGTACTTCATTGAAAAACTAGTTGATAAAATTCACTGCCAAAGAACAAAACTTTTGCTACAACTTTTACCAAAGTAAACGTATTATATATAAATCGTACACTATGACATTGTTAACACTTTAATTATTCGTTTGGATCGGCTCTACTAGTGGGACCAACAAAATTTTGTACTATTATTTGCTTAAAAAAAAAAAAAAAAAAAAAAAACGATTTCAATGTGGTCTTTTTGCCGTGGTAATGATGTTACCTATACGTATAATGGTATACACCAGACGCAAGTGACCTGGAGTCCGAGCCCTTGTCATAAGCCCGAAACCGGCGCCACTGTAGGTACACTTGGTAGGTTGATAGTAGGTACACAGGTATAGGAATTAAGCTCCTTGTGCGGCAAAGACCTGCGAGGAGCTCTCAAACGCACGCCCTTCTCGTGGTAATCTCTGGCTTTTGCGGCGCTTAAGGTTGGCGCGCACACGCACACGTGTACGTATCATGTATACCTACCTAATGTTATCTCTACACGGCAGAGTTACTCATATAGGTATACCATGTATGGAGTCCTCGACGAGGTGATTGGCTTACAAGTGTGTGTGTGTGTGTGAGCGAGTAGTCCCCTCGGGGGGAGAGCACTTTGCGCATTTGCGAACACCGGGGAGATAATAGAATAAGAGGCGCACTAGCGGGGACAGCTTATACACGTTTGCTGTACATAACATTATGTAGGCTTGGTGGTCTTGCGACGATTTTTACTCACTTTAATTTGCAACGGAGGCTCGTTGGTGCGTAACCAGGTAAAGTGTTTAAGAGCAAAAGTTTGCCCAAGACTACAAAAAACAACAAAAAAACAAAAAAAAAAAAAAAAACGGAAACAACAAAAAAACTATGGCACCTGGGAGTTGGGGAAAAGAAAGAAAGTTCCCTCTTCGTGGATTGGATGAAAAATGCAAGGAGCTTTTTAACGTAAAAACGAAAATGTTAAAGTTGCATGCAAATCCGAACGGAAAAGTGTATAATCCGGTTGCGGTGAACTTTTTACTCATCCCGGAGCTTTTTCACGTCTCCCCGGCCGCGGATGTACAAATTAATGAGTCATTACGCTCGAAAGAAACTCCCGAGGTTTTTTCTCTTGCATATACTTACAATGCGAAATCGGCACGAAATCTGTCCGAAAAAATTATGCAACATTTTGCGTACGGCACAAGGTACCATTGTTCAATTTACATTATTTGTATATATATATTGTTTTCTTCGTGTTACGGTATACAATATTTAAGATAATGATTTGAAAAACAACGGGGCATGAAACAAAGACACTATTGTACCGATCTCCAGTAATATCGTTCGGATAGAAATTTCGATGAAAGACAGGAAAAAAAAGCCTCATGTTAACCAACGACTGGAGAACTCGGTGAAAAAAAGTCCACGAGTCCAGATACCCTAATTACCGTGTCGGCGATCAAAAGCCTTGTCAACGAACCCTCGACTCACGCGTATTTGCATATACACGTCAAAACAAACCGTCTCGTTTTACGTATCGTTTGCACCTCCTCCTCGTGATAAAAGCTCTCCAGATTCAACATTACTCCATTGGCATCGAAAGAGCGGAGGAGAAAAAGAGCCAGCCCCGCTTGGCGTGTCACCCGAGGACGGGTACTTGAAAAGGCCCCGACGATGCGTCGGATCGCATCGTGACCGGGTATATATAATATCGTGTCGGGTTACGTTTCAGCGCTCAACAAGGTTAATTCGCCTACACCCTCTCGTGTACCTAATGCGTATCGTATATTATACGCAAGGCTCGTTTCAGCCGTCACGTACACACGTGTCGGTATATTATACAACGCCGCAAAGTCATTGCCACGCGCTCGCCTCACTGGTTGTATATATATAGCAGCGGAGGAGAGCAACGCTCGCAGCGATGCCTCAGTCATCTCCTCGTTGTCTGTCCGCGCGTCTCCCAACGCGATATCGTCTTGCGCATGAATTTTCTCTCTCAGGCGACCGCGCAACGTTTAATTCGTCGGATTAATTGAGTTTTCTTTTTCCCCCCCCTTTTAATTTACGTCAATTGAGCTGATGATTTTTATTGGTTCAAGGGTGTGGGAAGAATTTCTCTTTTTTTTTTTTTTTATCTCATCGTTGATAGAAACGACAAAATATTTTACAAGATTTTTAAAATAATGCATTTCTAAATGAAGTGACAAAATTTGAACAGGTCAATGAACTTTCTCAGGCGTATCGATATTTGTTGAGCGTATACATATAGACTCATAAAAAATGAGTTTAAAGTGTTCCCCAAAAATTACAATAAACGCTCATTGAATACCACGACATAGGAAATACCACCCAAGCGAGGCGCGAACGAAGCACAAAAATAGCCCGAGACGTCTGTAGAGTGAAGCATATAGAGCGTCGTAACGTGTCACGCGGTGTATTAGTCATCGCTCGAGCGTCAAATGGAACAATTGATTTATGGACGCGAGCGAGTTTCTCCGTTTCACGAGAACAATATCTTAATTGCGCCTCGTCGAGGAATGCGCCATGTACCATATCAAGCGCCGAGAAAACCACGCGGTGTTCGCGGCAGCAGCGAATTATTCGGGTACCACCAGAAGCCCTGCTCCCGACATAATTCACGAGTCATTCGGCTCCGGCGATTTCGGCTCTGGCCTCGGGATGAGTACACCGCCAGTACCAGGCTATGCCCAACGTCATCATTTCGCGCCCATCCACTCGTAAGTGTAGGTACGATCTTATCGAACCGTATACCTCGCGAATGAGCAAAATAACGCCGGTACAATGCACAAGCGGCGCGCAACGAAACTCTTCCAACAAAAACTCATTTCGACTCAACTTTCGAGAGATGGAACGACGGAGCTTGCAGAAAAGTTCGTCCACCGGCGATTCAATTACAAACAGCTCTACGTACGAAATTTTTTTTTTTTTTTTTTCCAAGCACGCACATGACAACCTGTACAAAGTTGCCCGGAGCATATGAAATTGAAAGCTGTACTGCACATATACACGGGAGTACATATAGCCACGACAACAGCAGCGGAGAAAATTAATTTTCAGCGCCGCATATTCCGCAAGCTCGCAACGAAAAATGCCTTTCTCGGACAGCACGTGCGATAAAACAACATCCACGACCGCCCCCCCCCCGTCCCTCCGCGCGCAGGGTCTCGCACGAAGAGGAAGATAAAGGCAAAACCTATCGTTTGTGCGCGGTCCCGTGCAGGAGAGGCTCGAGTCATCCTTGTGTACAGTATACAGCCGCGAGAGCCCTTTATACGAAGTGCACGACGAGTTAGCGAGTATACTGCATCCACAAGCGTGTGCGGCGGTCCGTGAAAGCTCGGCCGTAAAGAAACGCGAGGCCGAGCCAAGGAGTTACGCAGCAACAACAGCATTACGACTCTGTTGTGTATAATATATACGTGCCGGTGCCGAGAGTCGGTAAGTACATCTACGAACGAATGGAAAAACTGGAAGGGGGGGAAAAAAAAACGGACATTCGCCTCTGACCGAGGGGGTATGACGCTTGTACGCACAGTGCATATCTGTATGTAGTCATGGAAAAAAAAAAGATGGATGGATGTACAAGAGAAGCTGCGCCACACGTGCTGGAAAAACGCGTGGAAAAAGGGGGGGGGAGAGTAGAGGAGCCTCGTATACGTTCTCATATTCTCTCGCGCAAGCGTCTACACGTGTAAACGTATACCGTGCGCCCCCCCTTGGAATATCTATACTCATCTCCAGGCTTTCATTAAGCTCGTGTGTGTATATACTCACGGTGGCCCGGCCGCGGGAAATGCACGACTTACATCCAGCAGCACGTGCTCTCCCACGCTCGATAAAAATCACACCAGCTGGTGCCGCTTGAGAGGCGACCAACGCGACACTCTTACACACCCTACTCTTGTTCTTCCAGGAGAGCACCGCGGTATTTACATCCCTCCCGCGTTTGCTTCGTTCTCTCACGAGCGCTTTGTATACCGGCCGGCGGCGTGTATACCCCGCGTGCTGTACACACCGCCGAGCGAAGGGTCTGCGGCTTTCGTGCGAGAGGGCAAACGCTTGTACATTATGCACCCCGAGCTCGCTCTATGGCGGTTTTCTTTCTCTAATTGCATTCGCGGGGAGGATCAAGGTAACGCTTGCTTTAACCTATAGAAAACGCCCCTCCACCGCAGGTTTCTTTTTTATTTTTTTTTCCCCCCCCTCGTTATATTTTACAATCAGCGTCTCTCTCTCGTCTATACGAGCAAGGGGGAGAGCGCGGAGGGCCAAAGGTTATTACGAATCGGTTTATTATACCACCGCCACCGGTGTTTGTCAATGCTTGAGCGGGACGATTGCCACCAAGTGTGTACATCGTATACCCAGCTTCCTCCATCTCTCTTGGCCCGATGGCGTTGACGCGCACTCCACAGCTTGAAATATGGCTGCCGCTAAACAGAGCTGGTTCATAAAATTTCCACCGCGACGAAGATCAAAAGCACGCGATTCGAAATACGTTGCAATGAGCTAATGTATAGCCTCTATACGCGGCTCGCGTGGAAAGCTTCGTTGAGGATATGAGTGCACGGGAGGGCGCATCTTCGGGTGGCGTACACGCCCCGGTGGCGAGCTGGACAGGCGCCAGAAGGACCTCCGGCCCACCTATACGTATATGGGGCCACTTGGGCTCGGTTTGCTTTGAAATTAGCTCCTCGGCGGGCTCGTATTTATTTGAACTTGGGCGCTCTCCCCCCCCCCCCCATTGGCGCTCTAATTGATGAGTCTCTCGACGCGCAACGATTAAACGACTTGGAGCTCATACGCGGTCGCTTGGAAATAATAACCCTTTATGCGCCTGAATACTTGTGCGTGGGACGTCAAAGAGTTTGAATAAATAGGGAACGTCCCGTGTACCGTACGACGCGTTGCATCACGCCCGAATGCCAGGGATTTTCTTCGGGTGGTCGAAAATGCGACGGTTTTGAATACGGGAAAGTTATCGGAATGCCGTGAAAATGAGCGATACGTAAGAATAATGCGGATAAAAAAGTCGATCGGTAGCTTTTCCACCAACTGTAGCATTGTTCTCTCGCTAGACTATATTGTTCAAGGATGTAGTTTCCCGCTGAATGCGATTGATACTGCATTGGCTCTAAAGTTTACGAAAAGCATCGCTACAGGGTGCATATTGGTACAAAGGCACCAAAGTTATTACCCCTACGTGCACACGTCATACCTATGTATACATATATGTTATATACAACACTTTGTTAAAGCATGCAAAAAGACTTTGACCGAACGTATCTTGGACGACATCAGGCAAACATTTGTACATTACACGCGTTCTGTTGCAGCACCACATAAGACTGAGGCACGACAGGCACAGGCGGCATCAGGGCGAGAGCTACGCTCCCCACAGCTATGCCCTGGACAGCGACGAGCCCGAGTCGGGCAGCTGGGGACCCTGGACCCATCCAACCCCCTGCTCGAGGACCTGCGGCGGTGGGGTTGCCATCCAGACTCGCGAGTGCCTCGACCGAGAGTAAGTCTTTATCATATTTATATACGTATGTACCTATCTTGCACGAAACTATACACGTCCCTTTTTATTATAATATACCTACTGTTATTATTGATTGTTATCAAGGTACTCATATGTCGATCAAACATCCATCGATTACGCCAAACTCTTGATGAAACGGTAACAAATAACAGTAGTCACATTGATGAAATTGCACGAGTATTCAATACCGATTGTAATAGTATAGAGGAATACATATATAATATCAAATCAAACATAGGCGCGCTACAGCAGCTGAAAATTTTACAATTTTTGGGCGCTCCGGCACACCGTAACTCGACACTCACCACCGGAGAACACAACACCGGGCATTTTTCGCGTCGATGAAAACGAAGACCCCCACATTTCCATTCGCGAAACGAAAAAAAAAGTTTCGAAAACGCCCTGCTTGCATCCAAACTCTTTGGCTTGAAAATATGTGGATACACTTTTTCTCGCCAAAGTGAAAAGATGGAGCGAAGCCCCGTGTTTTCCCGGTCGTTTAGCGCCCGTGTTTGTTATTCGTCGGACGAAAAAACACGGGCGCCCCGTGTGTACATATACCGTACGCTTTTTGCTCTGTTTGTCCCTCGGCAAAGACGGGAACGCAGCCTCGAGTGCATCTAACGATTTAACGGGTCGTGAAAGCCCATTAGACGCCTGGGGGGTGTTTGCCGTGGCCGATTTCCCCCTCGGAATCGAAGCTCCTCCTCCACCGTATCTCCCGGATGGGCACGGATCTTTGAATACATAATGCACGAGATGCAGCTCTCGCGGTCCCGTAAAACCCCTCTCCGCGCTTACTTACCGAGGACTGCGCGTTTGTTTTTTGCTAAAGAGCTTTTCCGGCAACCGATTTTTTTTTTTTTTTTTTTTAACTTTGATGTATACCACCTAAAATATTATGGTTTTTTTTTTCTTTGTCTCGTTTCAGCGATTCAAACAACGAAAGCTGCACCGGCGCGAGGAAGAAGTACTTCTCGTGCAACATCCACGTAAGTCCCAACGATTACTTTGGATACTGTATTGAATTTTCACGCAAGTGTGTAAACGAATGAAGGATGAACCTTGTGGTATCCAGGTCGAGATATCTCGCGTAGCACTTATTGTTTTTCAAACTGTATAATATACGTCATCTTATTGTTACAAAAGGCGGCTATGGGCACGTATATACGTGCAACGGTGTCGTTTCGAGTTTATGTACGTTTCCTAGCGGGCGCGTCCTTATAAACGAGGCACGTAAACGAAGGAAATAATTTTTAAAAAAAGGATGACTCGCCGCATCTCTCATTCGTGCCTCCTTTAACCCGCAAGTTTTTCAGAATATACGGAGGGGGGAGGGGGCCGCGCAAAAAACGAATTAAATCCAGCGGAAGGAGGCCGAGGGAAAAGTTATTTGCTTTATTCGCGTCGTTTCCACCGCTCCCCCGAATAAGCGACAAACTTCCCTTACCAAAGAGTGAGAGAGAGAGAGAGTGACCTGGTGAGCTTTATCCTGGCGTGCCGTTACACACACACACACACCTGCAGCGTAACGCAAAGCTCTGCTTTCGTCGGCGCGCGCTCCTCTTGATTTACTCGCGTGGAGGAGGCTTGTGTCTGACGTGAACGCCCTGGAGAGCCGACGCCCGCTGCCTCTTACCCTTTCGTACGTTATGAGTCCTTTTTGTCAAACGATGTTTTTGAAAAAGGGAAATGAGCGAGGTGGGACGATCAATGCGTTGTCGGAGGTTTTAAAACAGGTGACGGGTTTCACGGTTCATAAAATTAAATATCAGATTTCCCGGGTTGGGACGCTTCAATGCAGTATTGTTCCGGCACGGACAGCGCGTATTATGTGCCAGACGTCAAAAATCCACTCCGTCGCGCTCGTATCTTACACGCGGACGCTCCAAAGGAGTGAAAAAATTACTCCGAGCATACTTTCACTAGGTCAGACCCTTTTTTTTGTCTTCTTCTTCCTTCGTCGTCGTGCCACACACGCTCGTAATATTTTATCTTCTCGCGACTCGGCTGATCTTTCATCTTTTTTTTTCCCCCTCCTTCGCCTCGTCCTTTCGGCATCGTTGGGTTTTGAAGCGCCGAGGTGACGACGACGATCCGAGACCGTATACTCGAATGCACGTGCGTTCTCCTTTGATGGCCCACGAGTCATTAAATCTTGTCAAATGGGGTGTCAGCTGTGGGGGGACTCTAAAAAGTATCCTTTTTCTTCTTTCCGTATAATACGGTTTTGTTTTTCCCCCACAAGGTAAATTTTTTCTTTTTTTTTTTTTTTTTTTTTCAAAGAGCGACGGCATTACTTTGAAATCGTAATTATATTCTTTGGAGTGGAAACATGCATTGTCCTTTTAATTCTTCCAAAGCTGCCGCACATTCTAATCCTACCAGCTCCGTGGAGTATGAAAAAAAAAAAAAAAAAATTCCCACAACTTCTACCCTCCTCGTACATGCGTGTACAAGACCCGAGTACGTAGACGAGACATGTTCAGTTAATCGGCCTTACTTGTGACCTACACATCATAATTCACTAACACACGTACAGAGAGTAGCTTGCAAGCTGCCCGTAATCGCCTTATGCGGCGCATCAATTATTTAAAGCGCTCTCCCTCGAGAGTCGCCCCGAGTTGAGTTGCATTATGTACGTGAAATCGACGTGCATCGGAGAGAGAGAGAGAGAGAGAAAGACAAAAAAGGGGCTTGGGTCCAAAGTGTTGTTAAAAGCTTCGACGTTCTCTTCACCTCTTCCTCCTAAAGCTCCGAGGTCTAAATTTCGCGTTAACGAGACAATTTGACTGCTGAGAAGAAAAAAAAACGTACGTAAATATGTACACGCACGATACCGTAGCCTCACTCGAAAGCTTGGCAAAGAAAAAAAAACCTCTGCTGTATGCTCCCAAGGACGTTTGGAAGATAAACACAGCAATAACAGCAAAAAAGTAACGAAGCCCCAAGTAAATGACGCGAAAAAGGGCACACGGGTGGTTGGATCTCAATCTCAAGCTGTTTGCACACCCGGGGCATCTTCGAGCAGTGATCGTGGGCAAATTTGCTCTTTGAAGACGTACTCGCACGTATATGCTGAGAAAAAAAGAAAAACACCCTGCCATAGTCTCGAGAGGGAGTTTTTAACGACACGCGGCTCCACGTTGCAGAGCCGGTGCGATGGGTTTGAAAGTAAAAGAGGAGAAGGGGTGTATACCACGTGCTCTTAGCGGGACGACGATGGAGAATAATGGAGAGTAAAATATTCGCGCGCTGCTCTTCCGCAGTTACGGGGGTGCTCGCGCTCGCTGTAGCTTGGAATATCTTGTGCGCGCGACAATGGGAGTGAGCAAACGCTGCGCTTGAAGATGATTTAACGCGTGCGCGTTTTGTGTGTGTGTGTGTGTGTGTGCATTCCCGAAGTTGGTGGGGTACGGTGAGGGAGAAAAATTTATCAACTGCGGCGCATTGTGCGTTTTGCCCCGCGGAAAAATGAAATGGAGGCCCCTCTAACGGTGCGAAGCGTTAATTAAAGATCCCCTCCATCGCTCTTCGGTATACCCATTTTGAGGTTTCGTTCGTATATTTGCGTATTCATAGGTACTCGTTACTTATGCGGAGATCATAAGGATGTTGTTTAATCGATTGCATTGCTCCTCTCCTACCAATCGACGTTGTAACGCTGACTCTTTGAATTATTACCTAACTGGGGGGGGGGGGGGAAAAAGCTTTTGTTCAGGTTTTTCTTGTCCCTACTCTCGTGAAAAATGAAGATTTTTTCCATTAAATTATTCAATAACATCCCCAAGATTGCCTCGTGACTCGAAATTCCCTTTGGAAACTTCGCCCCCGAAAAATTGGCTCGTTCAATCTCGCGTAAATAAACTCACCAGAGCTGTAGACACCCTCTCACCTCGGAGTCTCGTAACAAAGGGTTATGAACACAAGCAAAAGTGGCCTTGGGTATACGTGAGGAGGCCTTCGACGGTAAGTCGTTTTCGTAACCCCCAGCTGAAATGAGTAATCTGCTCGCAGTGTGTACATGAGATACACCAATGTGTTTGGTCGCCCGGTGATATTGACCGTACTGGTACAGCACGGAGAATAGGATGATTTCCGCAAGACGGGATTGGTTTTTTTTTTTTTTTTTTTTTTTTATTGGAAGATGGAGCGGATCGAAGATGTATTTGACAGCTTTGAGAATTTGTCGATGGCGCTTGTAAGAAAGTATACGAGGCAAGGGGGTAGCTTGATTGTTATCCGATGGGTGCGCTGAGGCGTTGCAAACAAAGTTACCGAGATATTGCGGTTTTTTCAATCCATGCGAAAAAAAAAAAATGTTTTCTGATTTATACAGAGTTATGTGTACCCACGAGCGTAAACTTTTTTTCTCCTTAGATTGTTACGGGTTATCCATAATGTTGAACTGCAATTTTTCTTTTACTGCATTAAAATTTTTTTTTTTTTTTTTTTTTTGACGAAAATAACACTCGGAGACCACTTTGACTTTTCGGAACTAAAACTTTGCCGGGTAAGAGAAAGAGCGAACAAGTTACTCAAGTCGAGTCGACTAATGCAGCGAATTCTTTATTGAAGAAACATACCTACTCTCTTCACTTATAATTTCTCGAGGCGGAAAACTTGGTTAGCGCCGGAATTGCAAAATCAACGTGAAATTTTAACGCCCTCCGTTTTAATGAAAAATTCAACGACCGTCGATAGTCAACCCCCGGCGGAAAGGAAGAACCTACAAATCAGCCGATGCGACGCAAAGTATAGAAAAAAAAAAAAAGGAAAATCTCACCCCGTACACGTGAACCACATCCAAAAGAACCAGAAGAAAAAATGGCACAGCAACGCGAATAATTTCTGCTTCTCGGCGCTTCATCCGTGACCGATTCGAGCAGCGCAACCCGCCTTCCCTCCGACCCATTGCTCACGCACCAGCTGCCACGATTCCACGCCCGGCCATAATTCAACCTGACCAACTCTTCCTTCCGAAATAAGAGCACTTTCCCGCTACAGCGAAAGGTAAATCTCTCGCATCGCCCCGACCTCATCGGTATTCCCACCCCCTAGACTATTTTTAAATAAACATATATACAGGGTACTATATTAAGGCTGCGCGAATTTCACGGAGGCTCGTGTTTTCAATAGTCGAAGGAAAGTCTCGATCACAATAGAGTCCCTCCTGTACAGGGACGGAAGCTGGAAGATGGTCGTGGGCCTCGTCATGATTGTAAATTTGCGAGGATTTAAGGGAAAACCGAATTAACGCAGGGATCGAAATGAATCGTCGCTCCGAACAGCTACGTATACACTATTTCATTCACGAGGACGGTATTTACGACTCGGGCGAACGATTTATCAGCTGGATCGACCAACTATACCAGCGCTGAGCTGTAAATTTTTAATTTTCAAACAAGGTACGGTAGCCATCGGTTCGTCCAAACGTACATTTTTAAGGACTCTATACGTACCCGTGTGTTGTATTGTGGTTCTTGCTACAGCTGGGCCGTAAATCCCTCCAATCCGAGGATTGAAATCGACAAAACGCCTCGATATCTCCCTCCAAGACGTTCCATTTTGATACGGCACGCATTGCTTTCTCTTTTTGGTCAGTGAAGAAGAAACAGAGAGAATTTCGCACCAGGTGGACCACATAGGTCCATGGATCTGGAAGCGCAGGTCGCGAAGCCACGGAATTTCACCGAGTTTCATAAATCGTGCTGCACGTATACGCGTATAGATCACGCGAGTTGTCGATTCCCCGGCCGGATCACCCACCCGTGTGTGCTCGACGTTACTTTTTACGTGTATATATATATATATATATAGCCGCATGCATTCAACCATGCGTGCACATATACACGCGTGCTCCGGGTGTCAGATTCGCGCGCACTCGTGCCCATGTATGTTTCACCTCGGGCTTGGTACACTCAAATGTGCACGAGCTATACGGTATATGTAGCTCGGAGGGCCCTCTAATTCCAGCGAAGGCGTGACTGCGAGGCTACAGATTCTCCCACGGCGACCCTTATTTTTATTTATGTTCTTCTCTTTTGACATGTACGCGCAAACTCTCGTTCCCTTTCACAGCCGTCTCGCGGGGCTTGATTATCTATTTGCCCATCCCCCGTTGGCTTCTCTTTGGTTTGCCATTTTTCCCGTTCTTCCTTTGACTCGGGCAAGCTTCTCTCATTTCGGAGATGCGTTATTTTTTTTTTCGCTCTAATTGGAGAGCTATACGGTTGCAATCAGAGGCTTCGCTCGGGTCGACGCTTTCTGTTTGATATCGCGTTTTCATCGCCGTCCCGGGGAAACCCTCCAACCGTCAAGTGGAAATGTACGCCCTCGCGGAATATACACCAGCGACTTTTTTCAAAATCATACTTGTTTCGGCATTTCTCGATATTTCGAACCAGAGAGAGAGAGAGAGAGAGAGAATTGTTTGCAAAACGTGTGTACGCTGCTTTTAAAAGTAGATACAGTAGCGTGCGAGGCTGGTGGGTTATTGTATTTGGTTGAATTTTGTTGAAGCCTTGCCCGGGAGAGCCCAAGGATTTTCGAGCCGAGCAGTGCACCGAGTTCAACAATCAGCCCTTCGACGGTATCTACTACGAGTGAGTGTTTCACCATTGAGTCTCCGAACCACCAAATGTATGGTAAAACAAAAAATTAAAAAAATGTTGGCGCTCCCTTGCAGGTGGATACCGTATACGGGCGGTCACAACAAGTGCGAGCTCAACTGCATGCCAAAGGGCGAGAGGTTTTTCTACAGGCACAAGGAGAGCGTGACCGACGGCACCCTCTGCAACATCGAGAAAAACGACGTCTGCGTCGAGGGCAAGTGCATGGTGAGTGCGACATTTTTTGATTTTCTCGTTAATCATACAATAAATGGTTCATCGTCAAAAACCTTATACCGCGACAACTCGTTGCGTTTAACGAATTCGAGTGTAAATAAATTACACCCCTGCAAAGTATACGTACGCGGTAAGTACCAAAGTTCAAACTACGTCCCACGAAAGGCAATGAAATATAAATGTAAACGAGAGTGTTGTACGTAAGTGTAATGTGCCGAAAATCAACAGCCAGTGGGATGCGACATGATGCTGGGTAGCAACGCGAAGGAGGACACGTGTCGCGAGTGTGGCGGGGACGGCTCCGACTGCAAAACCGTACGTGGACTCTTTGACGCGGACGACCTGCAAGTTGGTAAGTCCTTGATCTTTTTTTTTTTTTTTTTTTTTTTCACTCTTACACCTATCCCCTCTACGGGTCGTGTATAACGACGCGCTCCCCGTTTTACAGGATACCTCGACATGTTGCTCATCCCCGAGGGAGCGACAAACATCGCAGTCAAGGAGGTCCGACCCTCGAATAATTACCTCGGTAAGTCTCATCGTCGCACTTTTCTCTCCCTCGCACGCGCTCCGACGCGTCCTTGGGTTACATATAAGATTGGAAACATGCTGATGCACCGTGTAAATTATTTATACATATGTACGATGCTATAATTTGGCTCTGCCCGTGTTTGGTTTACATGCACTTTATCCGGTGCCTTTACTTTATTTTTTCGTAACCAATGACATTTATTTAGCTCGTCGCGAGGTAAGTAATTCCTGCCTATATAACCTGCGTGTATATCATGAAATGAATGACAATGCCGTGTATATGTGAATTTATATGCGGCGCGTGTGTGATGGTGAAACCCGTAAATCCCGGTAAAACTAACGAAAAAAATCGCAGCCGTGCGAAACACGACCGGACACTACTACCTCAACGGCAACTGGAGGATCGACTTTCCGCGCAGCCTTCGATTCGCCGGCACGATATTCCACTACAGCCGAGACCCACAGGGATTTTCGGCCCCGGACACGATAACCGCCCTCGGACCGACCAACGAGGCCGTATACATCGTGGTGAGTACACAAGGGACTCTTGGGGACAACGAGGTAAATAAAATATGATACCCCTTGCTTCGTGCCCCTCGTAGCTGCTCTACCAGGACCACAACGTCGGCGTCCACTACGAGTACAGCATCCCCAAAAAGTTCTCCCAGCAATCCGACCCCGACAGCTACACCTGGATCACCGACGAGTTCTCCCCGTGCAGTACGACCTGCGGGGGTGGTAAGTCCCTTCGAAAAAAGTAAATCCCCAGGGTATAACGAGTAAACTGTACACACCCACCCATGCGGATGTATCACGTACAGGTTTCAAATCGCGGCGAGTGATGTGCGTGAAGCGGAGGACGAACGAGCCGGCCGACGAGAAGCTGTGCGACCCGACGCTGGAGCCGGCGGACACGGAGGCTTGCGGTGGCGAGCCCTGCCCGGCCCAGTGGGTCGAGGCCGAGTGGTCCGAGTGCAGCAAGCCCTGCGGCGAGGGTGGCGAGCAAACGCGCGACATCAAGTGCCAACAGATCGTCTCGGGTGGCGTGCCGACCGTTGTCGACGAGGCCCAGTGCGCCAAGAGCCTCGGGCCCAAGAACGCCACCACCCGCGCGTGCAACAAGGAACTCGAGTGCCCCAAGTTCCACATCGGCCCGTGGAAGCCCGTGAGTACACTAGTAGTTCACTAGTACCCGAGTCCAATGTATACATGCAACTGCTGAATCTTGTTTTATTTCATTCAGTGCGACCACCTGTGCGGCGAGGGCAAACAAGTGCGCAGAGTCACGTGCTTCAAGAAGAACGACCAGGGGAGGATCCAAGTGCTGGAGGACTCGGCTTGCGGCAGCCAAGTGCCCGAGCGCGACAGGACCTGCGAGCTGAGGCCCTGCGAGGGCGTCGACTGGGTCATCTCACCGTGGAGCGGTGTAGGTGTTTTCAATTTTCTTCTCAACGCTTAACGGCCCATCCCAACCGTTGACCCTTTTTTTTCTTCCGTGTTTTTCCAGTGCTCGGAGAAGTGCGGCCTGACCCAAGAAACGAGGACCACCCAGTGCGCCACGCAGGACGGCACCGTCTACCCGGATAGCATGTGCGACCCCGAAAAGAAGCCACTTCTGACCAAAGAGTGCGACACCCCGCAGAACTGCGAGTACCAGTGGATCAAGACCCAGTGGAGCAAGGTAAGCCGTTGCTGATCGACACGATGGACGGGCCCATTGATCGGGGGGGGTGGTGTATGGGAATCGCTTTCAGTGCTCGGCGGAGTGCGGCACGGGAGTGCAGACGCGCAAGGTGTTTTGCGCTACCTTCGAGGACGAGGACACCATGAAGAAGGTCCCGGACGGCAAGTGCGAGCCATCCGAGAAGTTCAACGCGACGCGCGAGTGCGTCACCAAGGGAGCCGAGTGCAAGGGCGAATGGTTCGCCGGACCCTGGAGCAAAGTAAGGAGACACGGTGCTTCTTTTTCTTTTTTCATTTTTCTTTTAACACTCGACGCGTTCCAGTGTTCAAAACCATGCGGGGGTGGCGAGAATACTCGCAGGGTGGTTTGCCTGAGGGACAACAAGATCGTTTCGTCGAATGAGTGCGATTACAAGACAATAATGGAGGAAACGAAGTCGTGCAACCCGCTCGCCTGCGAGGAAGGTACGAGAGCGAGAATAATAGAGAATTATTTGATCACTAGAAGCGCAACCGATGTCCTATAACGATTGTCCAATGTGTTATTTGCATGTGATTCCTTGGTCCAGACCAAATGATACCGGTCGAGCCGGAAAAGGTGACAGCTCTGATGGAAGAACAGGGTGAGGCGGACGAGGAGTGCGAGGACGAGGAGGGCTTCGTGAGCGTGAGCTCCCGGTTCAACACCGACGTAAGTATATAATATAAGAGGCCCCACACCCGTGTGACCGCAAAAAAATACCGCAAGCGTTTGATCCTTGCAGGACCAACCGTCCGATTCGACCGAGACGTCGCCCCTCAGCTCGCCCATCGGGAGCTCGAGCGCGGACGCCTTCGCCAGCACCCTGGACGACATGATGTTCAGCGACGCGGCGTACTCCCGCGGCGACGTCTCCTTCCCCACCGACAGCGGCAGCGGCACCGGCAGTGACGACGAGACCAACCTCTACCCGACCATATTCACCCTGGACGAGGGCAGCGGGGCCTCCCCCGACGAGGAGTTCTCCACGCCCTCGCTCGGCTCGGACGTCACGGAACCCTCCGGTCTGAGCGACCCCACTGAAGGCTCGGGAGCAACGGAGACCACTAGCTCGGGTACACCATTGCCGCTCGACAAACCACGCAACTTGACGTCAAACTAAAAACTTTTGATCCGTACAGGCTCCGAGGCGCCGACCGAGGCCGCAACCGGTGCAAGCGACTCGTCCACCGAAGGAGCGACGGAAGCCACCGAACAGCCGACCGACCTGACGACGCAGCAGTCAACGGACGTACCGAGCGAAGCTTCGGCTACCGTCGCCGGCACGGATGCGACAACCGACAGTTCGGCGTCATCTTCGCCGGACGCGAGTGAGGCGACCACCCCCGACACCACCCCGACGTCCGACACCGAGACCACCGAGGCTACGTCGGACGGTAGCTCGCCGGTCGACTCGAGCACCTTGGCCACCGACGACGTCTCCGAAACAACTGGTATTGAAACTTACTTTTGGCGCGTATCGGTCGAGGGTGGTTTTAACCCGTGTCGTCGCTTTAGTGGGAGCGACATCCGAAGGCTCGGAGTCGCCGGGGGCGTCGAGCAACGCCGTGGAAACAACCGAGGCAAGCGGCAGCGGTGCAACCGAGAGTACCGGCTCGACGGATTCCGTGACCACCGAAATGACGGAGTCCTCGGCTACCGGAGCGCCCTCGGAATCGTCGACTATGGTGACCGAAGAGACCGAAATGGCCACGGAGTCCGGGCCGACGACCGAAAGTGGGTTCACGGAGGCGAGCGGGTCGACGGAGACCGGGGCCACAGAGGAGACGACCATGGCGGAAGGTACAGAGTCGGGAACGACAGAGTCTGGAGGGACGGAAGCTACCAGCGAGCTGAGTACGATCGCCAGCACCGAGGAGTACACCGAGTCGAGCATATCACCGGCTACCGAGTCGGACTTGACCGAGCAATCTCACAGTAAGACATCGGGGCCCTATCGCCCTCCCACGCGTGTAACGTGTATATATGATATCGGATTGTGTTTGTTTTTTTTAGTCACGGAAGTGTTCACGACCGCCAGCCCCGTGCAAACGGCGATAAAGATCGAGAACAGGTTCGGCGGGAAAAAGTGCAAGCCGAAGAAAAAGAAGACGTGCAACAAGTCCGAGTTTGGCTGCTGTTACGATGGAATCACGGCTGCCCAGGGGCCGTTTGGCAAAGGCTGCCCGACCCCGCACACGTGCGCCGAGACGACTCACGGCTGCTGCCCCGACGGGGTGTCCCCGGCCAAGGGGCCCAAGTTCTTGGACTGTCCCGATCAGCACTGCAACGAGACGCTCTTCGGTTGCTGCCAGGACGGCGTTACTCCCGCCGAGGGCAATGACTTTGAGGGCTGCAAGAAACCCTGCAATCAGACCGAGTGAGACCGAAAACCCTTCGTACACTTTGCTTCTTTGATCCAAGTGTTTTGTTGAAAAAGTAAAATGTATCCTCCCTACTAGATTTGGATGCTGCCCTGACAAGGAGACACCTGCCAGTGGGAAAAACAATCTCGGGTGCTGCAACACCACCAAGTTTGGATGCTGTCCGGACAACATCAAGCCTGCCTCGGGCCCCGATGGAGAAGGTAACAATTGTCTCTGCGGAGGCAACAACGATTGTAATACTACAAAGAATTTGCATCTAATCAAAGGTTGCGAGGAAGAGGTCACCGAAGTATCCGTGGAAACGACAACCATCATCCCGGAGGACTGCGCCAACTCGACTTACGGATGTTGTCCTGATGGTCGAAAGACTGCCAATGGCACGAACTTTGCGGGCTGCGACATCATCAACACCAAGAATTGCACCGCCTCGTACTTTGGATGCTGCCCGGACAATGCCACTGCCGGTAACTACATACACGTTTGATTCTTGTTTGGAGAAAATACCAACTCACGTTGGAAATTCCCCGTGAAGCTCTGGGTCCGAACAACACGGGCTGCCACATGCCGTGCGACAACACGACCTACGGGTGCTGCGAGGACAAAAAAACCCCGGCTCACGGGCCAAACAGGGAGGGCTGTTGTTTGTCGATGCCGTACGGCTGCTGCCCGGACAACGTGCTGCCGTCCCGGGGCCCGAACTTTTACGGCTGCGGCTGCCAGTACTCGCGTTTCGGGTGCTGCCCGGACAACGCGACCGCCGCCCGCGGGCCAAACAACGAGGGATGCGGCTGCCAATACACGACCCACGGCTGCTGCCCGAACCGATTTACCCCGGCCACTGGTCCGAACTACGGGGGCTGTCCATGCTACACTTACCAGTTCGGGTGCTGCCCCGACGGGGTCACCGCGGCCAAGGGACCGAGGAGCCAGGGCTGCGGCTGCGAAAACACCGAGTTCAAGTGCTGCTCGGACGGGCGGACGCCGGCCAAGGGCCCGAACTTTGCGGGCTGTGCCTGCGACGCGTCCAAGTACGGCTGCTGCCCCGACGGGGTCGAGGAGGCCCAGGGCGAGGACTTTGAGGGCTGCCTCAATCGGCCCTCCCATCCCGGGGAGGCGTGCGGCATGCCGCGGGACAGGGGCACCTGCCGCGAGTTCACCGTCAAGTGGTTCTACGACACCGAGTACGGGGGCTGCTCGAGATTCTGGTACGGTGGCTGCGAGGGCAACGACAACCGATTCAAGACCCAAGAGGAGTGCAAGGCGACTTGCGTCGAGCCACGAGGAAAGGGTCAGTTGGTCCGATAAGTATGGGGGTCAAATTTGTCGGGAGCGGAGATACCGAGGGAGTTGATTTTTTTTTTTTTTTTTTTTGGATTCGCAGACATCTGCTACTTGCCCAAGATATCTGGGCCCTGCGAGGGATACCAGCCCACTTGGTACTTTGACGGCGAAAGGAAGCAGTGCGGTCAGTTCATCTACTCGGGCTGTCTCGGAAACGCCAACAGATTCAAGAGCCGCGAGGAGTGCGAGGAGCGTTGCTCTGAGACTGCTGATACTGGTAATATTTTTTTTTCACGATGAACAATACGGTAAAACAAGTGGCGATTGACGAGTAAAAATAAAAACAAAAAATTGTTTCCGTAGACCCTTGCACTTTGCTCAAAGAGCAGGGACCCTGCGAAGGAAACTTCACGAGGTGGTTCTTCAACAAGGAAACCCAAAATTGCGAGGTGTTCAAGTACGGAGGCTGCAAAGGCAACCACAACAACTACCCGTCCGAGTTGGCTTGCCGACAGCAGTGTCTACAACCTGGACGCAGTCGAGGTACGTTTGGTATTCCCGTGTTTCTCGTCCTGGTAATTAAATAGTTGACAATTTTGTGTTTTTCCCCGTGAGTATACTAAGCGTGTGTGTAATCAATAATTCATCGCTAATAGTGTTTGGCGAAAAATCTGGCATGTCTAATTACCGTTGAAAATATTTTAGTATACGTGTACACCCGTAAAGATAATCCTTTCAAAGTAATTCGATTGAATTCAACAAGAAAAAAGGAAAAAAAAAGATGCATCGTATGTAACCCCAGGTGTTTTCAGTAATGCAGGATCTGTGCGACCTGGATAAAGAACCGGGACCGTGTCCTGGCTCTTTGCTCCGTTGGTATTACGACGCTAGTCAACGGGCGTGTAGAAAATTCATTTTCGGCGGTTGCAAAGGCAACGGCAATAAGTTCCGTACTAAGGCTGCCTGCGAGCAGCGCTGCCTAGACCGAGGTATACGCAATACAATACAGATCGGTCGATGATACGCTTTTTTTTTTTTTTTTTTTTTTACCTAGATACTCATGCGTAGTCGCACGCGCGTTTTCCTTGCACACGCTGATTGCGAACAACAACAAAAATCAATAGTGGTGCTGGATCTTTAGCTCCCCTCTTTCGCTCTGTGGATCCGTATGGCTTGTCTGACCGAACGTTGACTTGTACTACTGATACATTTTTCTAGCCTCGGCGCAGTCGCAGCTATGGATCTTTAGCGATTTTATTTGAAATATAAATAGAGCTTTGTACATCCCATTACGGACAACAAAAATCAATAGTGGTGCTGGATCTTTAGCTCCCCTCTTTCGCTCTGTGGATCCGTGTGGCTCGTCTGACCGAACGTCGACTTGTACTACTGATACGTTTTTCTAGCCTCGGCGCAGTTGTAGCTATGGATCTTTTTAACCCTTGGCCATTATGTTTGAAATATAAAAAAAGCTTTGTACATTCCGTCACCTATAATTGAGCTTTGTTTAAACAAAAAATGTCCATTGCCTTTTACACGCACTTATCGTGGTGGTTGAAGAAAAAGCGGTATGCAATGCTCACTCGAAAAATTTTCGTGTATCGCTGATTCTTTCGTGATTGTGCAATAATTTAGGAAGGATTAACAATATTTAGTTGGTATAGAAGCACTATGCAAACGCAAGTACAGCACCATACTAATCAAACAACACTAATTAGATCTCAATATCTTGTAAGGAAAACCACCTTAAATTTGTATTAGAAAGCAGTTGGAAAGCTTAGTTTGTAAGGAAGGAAAAAAAAAATAAATAACCCGAGTTTGATAATTGATGGATTAACAAATGCATGGTTGAATTTTTGAACTGACGATTAAACAGACTCGTGCTCGCTGCCACGCACCGAGGGTAACTGCACGGACAAGTACTCGCGCTGGTACTTTGACCAGCAGGAGAATCGTTGCATGCCATTTTATTACACTGGCTGCGGTGGAAATAAAAATAACTTTGCCTCTAGAGATGCATGTGAGTCCGATTGCCCGCCCAAGATTGGTAAGAAATCAATTGGATTGTTTTTAATATGTTTTTACACACCTATATAGACATTAGTTTGCGCATGACAGTCACTTATAGTTTGAATCGCTTCGCAACAATTTTGCTTCAAAGGAAAAAAAAAAAAAAAAAAAAAAAAATTTAAACAGCTTTAAATACTATATTTATGTGTTTGATGAACAAAAAAGCCTAACGATAAGTAAATCTCACCGCAACAGAGCAGGACATGTGTCTCCTGCCGGCGCTACTTGGCGAATGCCACAACTACACCCAACGCTGGTACTTTGATTCGTACGAGCAGAGGTGCAGGCAGTTCTACTACGGTGGCTGCGGCGGTAACACCAACAACTTCCACACCGAATCCGAGTGCCAGAACAGATGCGAAAATCCAACTGCGACTCCCACTGCTCCCGAAGTAGAATTCCAGACGGGTGAGTTTTCCATAATATCCATACGAATCGGCAATAATCGACAAATAGACTTTTCACTCGACAAATGTTCCCCTTTCTAGAATTCTGCTTCCTACCGGACGAGCGTGGCCCGTGCACGAACTACGTAAACAAGTGGTTCTACGACAGCCGAGAGGGCATATGCAAGCAGTTCGTCTACGGCGGCTGTTCTAGCAACGGAAACGCCTTCAACTCCCGCGAGGAGTGCGAGTACAGATGCGGGGACGTACAAGGTATCGAGAGAAACGACGATGATTTATTTATGTAAACTCATCCAGCAAGATTAATGCCTCTCTTTGCCAGACCCGTGCACGATGCCCGTACTGGTTGGCCCGTGCAACGGCTCGGTGCCGCAGTTCTACTACGACCGACGAGCGGACGCCTGCTACTCGTTCGACTACAGCGGCTGCCAGGGCAACAAGAACCGCTTCAACGACTTGCACGTCTGCGAGCAGCGCTGCCGCAAGCGGCCACCCACCGAACCATCGACCCAACCGCCCGCCACGAGCCGGCCGGCGCCCTCCGGCGGCCTCAGCCGGGCATGTCTCGAGCCGGTTGAAGCCGGGCCCTGCAACGGCGAGGTCACCGCCTACTTCTACGACGGCAGCCAGGCCAAGTGCCAGGCGTTTATCTACGGGGGCTGCGAGGGCAACGCCAACCGGTACGAGACCGAGGAACAGTGTGAGAGGCTCTGCGGCAAGTTCCGGGATCAAGGTGACGATGCGATTTTTACACATATAATATATCCACACGGATTTGAAAACGAGGCATTGGGGTGTACGGAGGAAGATTAAAATGGCGGTGCATGTATTGATCTTACAGACATCTGTCACCTGCCGCCCGATCAGGGTCCCTGTCGCGGTGCCTTTTCCAAATTCTACTACGACCAGAGGTCCCGCGTGTGCAGGGAGTTCACCTACGGTGGCTGCGACGGCAACGCCAACCGGTTTAGCTCGCGCAACGAGTGCGAGTCCGTCTGCATCCATCACGAGGAGCCGGCCCAGTCCGGCAACAAGACCGCCCTCTCCGATCTGAGTAAGCTACCCCGATTGCGCATGTGTACACGATATATACATATATTATTCTCATTAACCAGGGTGTTGTCGCGTGACGTTTATGGTATAACATATATTATATTACATGTTTGTGATGATACCGATGACTGTCTGTTACTTTGAATATAATACGTTTACGTACTTACTTAATATGCATCGCATGTTTCTACAAAAGTTGTTAACAATAACAATGTATTACAATGTGTGTAACGAGGGTGTACTTTGATACTTGTAATCCAGCTATCTGCAAAGAGCCCGTCGATATTGGCTCGTGCACTGTCGGCAACTACAAACGCTTCTATTACGACGACGAATATCAAACGTGCCGAGCTTTCATTTACACCGGTTGCGGTGGCAATCGTAACAACTTCAAGACTATCGATTCTTGTCTTAAAGTTTGTCGTCGTAAGTCCAACTTATACCTATAACCAACGAACAATCGCATAGCAACTTATATTTATTTCTCGCTCATCATCACCATCATCATAGTTACATTTTACGCGTGTAATTATGACATGCATTGTGTGTGCGCTATCGTGTATGCACGTGTGTAGTTGAGATGTCAGTTGTCGTCACTTTTTCATTTAATTTATCCACTTTTCTCCTTAAAAAAAAAAAAAAAAAAAAAAAAAAAAGAAAAAAAAGAAAAAAAAATCTACGTGTAAATATTTTTTTATTAGCTGCTGCATTGTTAATTTTATACAAACTCCTTGGCCCCTGCTGTAAATATGTTTTTGCCGTAAAAATCAAATTTCCGTCTCTACTCTGGTATACGTACTCATTCGGTTGGGGTCAACGTTTCAGAAATCAACAGCATCCCGGACGACAACCAAGACACGAAAGACCCATGCGCCGAGGCCACCGAGCACTGCAACCAGCTGCACTGCCCCTATGGTCAGGAAGACTACGTGGACTCGCAAAACTGCCAGCGCTGCCGGTGCGTCGAGCCGTGCCAGTCCATCAGCTGTCCCGAGAGCACCAAGTGCGCCGTGACCCTCGTAAGGACGAGCGAGGGTACCGAGTACCGAGGCATCTGCAACCCTGGTACGACCCCCAATCAAAAGTCCTTCGGCGCATTCGTATACTCACGATCGGTTCTTTTTTCCGCTTCAGTGAGCAAGCCCGGCAGGTGCCCGGAAGTGTCGAACAGCACGAGGTGCGACCAGGAGTGCTACTCGGACGCCGACTGTTCGGGCGAGCAAAAGTGCTGCAACAGCGGCTGCGGCACCTCCTGCCTGAGCCCGCCGAGGGAGGAGGAGCACGCCCCACCGGACTCCAACGACTACCGGCAGGAGACGATACCGGCCGGTGCGGTGGCCGCCAGGATCGAGCAGCCCGAGTCGCCCAACGTCGTCGCCGAGGAAGGCGGTTACGTCACGCTGCACTGCGTCGTCATCGGGAATCCAGCGCCCCTCATCGTTTGGAGGAAGGACGCCAAGACCGTGAGACTTGTTTGCTGGTTCTTTCTTTTATTTGTGGGGTAAAGGGCGAAAATAAAATTTACGCGTTTGATCGGAGACAGATCGGCCAGAACGAAAACAGGCGACGCATCCTCGGGGACGGGTCGCTGCAGATCATCAATCTCTACTCGTACGACAAGGGACTGTACGTCTGCACGGCTGATAACAGGATGGGCCCGCCCGTTCAGATAGAGTACCAGCTCGAGGTCACGGGTGAGTAAAGTATACTTTTTTTTGCACACGTTTAAGGTGATGAGTTCTCTGGCATACGAGTGCACCCTATATACTTATATGCTGCAGTAGTGGTAGTATTATTGTTGTGTTGTACTAACTAAGACGCGTAGAGTATAAAGTTTTAACAAACGTATATAATATGTACAATCCTCTTGAGCCTTTACTTTTTTCTTATTTCTCGAGACTTGGCTATACATACAAAGTAATGGTAACTGTGACTAATATACACGAGACATGGTTATAACGGTTAGAGAGTTCCCAGCAGTATCGCTAATACAAAAATCTAACAAAAATCTAACCGCTCTAACGGCCACTTGGGCTTTGCCTGCTAACTATCGCCCCTTTAGAGCCGCATGACTGCCCGCCCAACGTGATAGACGAGCCGAACCGTCCGACCACGGTGGCCCTGAACTCGCCCATGGTGTTGCATTGCTACGCGATCGGTTGGCCCCGGCCCACGGTCACCTGGTGGCGCAACGATAGCATGCTGCCCCTCTCGTCCGAGCACTACGAGCAGGAATCCGACAACACTCTGCGCATACGCTCGGTCACCCTCAGCATGCTCGGCGTTTACACGTGCCACGCGTTCAACGGCGTGGGCAAGCCGGCCGAGTGGTCGACCATACTCCAAGCCCTGGGACCCGTGACCAACGTCCCGCCCGACCAGGAAAAGTATACCCAGTATCTGGTCCAGCCGCCCCAAAGGCCCGAGAAACCGAGTTACCCCTACAGGCCCAATCGAACGCAGAGCCACGACAACCAGACTTACGCGCCGTTCCCCACGACCACCAGGCGCTATGGTATACCGCAGGTCGTACCTATCGACCTGTCGACCACTAGGGCACCCAGAACCGAGTACGCCGGTGAGTATATACCAGTCCGGCCTATCCTTGCACAGATTCCCGAAGCTTTGTTTATTCACTTGTGCGATGATTAACATGGTTTTGGCTTTAACTTTGCATGCGACCATATGCGGTGCTTTACAATACAAGGCAATAAAACTATATATCATATACATTGTAATTTTGTATTACTTTTGTTTTTTCAGTTCCGAAAGATTATTGATATTATACGTGTAGTACGGGTAATTTACGGCTTTGACGAGCAGTGGGTAATTGTTTGTTTTCTTTCGTTTCAAAATAGCTCCGGTGCGCGTCAATGTGTCGGCACCGCAGGCTCAATTCGCCGAGGATGGTCCCATCACCTTGCGCTGCAACGCCACGGGATATCCACCCCCACGCGTCACGTGGTACAAGAACGACGTTCCACTACAAGAGGACGATAGAATCAGGATTTCGGGTAAACTCATGATTATGTAATTATACCATGTGTGCCGTGAAGGATAAATAAATGTTATTGTACACTGCGTTGACAGAATCCAACGAGTTGACGATATCGCCGGCGAATTCCAACGACACCGGCAGCTACCGCTGCGAGGGCGTCAACCAGTACTCGAATAGCGCCGAGACTGTGGAAATCCGCGTAGCCGGTAATTATACGGATAATACATGCTATAACTAATTCTAGGTGTTGTCGGATGGTTTGGCTGATCGCGGAGACACGTGTTTCAGGCATGTACATCGATCCGAGCTGCCAGGACGACTCCCGCCTGGCCAATTGTACTCTGATAGTCGCGGCGAGATACTGCCACCACCAGTACTACACCAAGTTCTGCTGTCGGTCGTGCACGGAAGCGGGACAACTGCCGGCCCGGCCGGTGCCGCCTTACGCTGGTCAGAGGACGAAGAGGTCGCTGTTTTCGTTTTTTTAATTGCGACGACTCGATGAGTGGTCGATAAGAAGGAGAACAACACAAATACGACAAATAATCGAATATTCCACACTGCCGAAGCCTTGGGTCGTCTATATATACACACGCACGAATGGCAATAACTAACGCGAACAACATTGCAACTTGCAAGGAAATAAAATTTTTTTTTTTTTTTTTTTTTCGTTTAATCTGTATGTATAGACTGATCCAATGCTGACTCCTAGTCCAAAGGGCCGGTTTTGTAATTATAAGCGCAAGCCCTGCGAGGCCACCAAAATTGCCTCGACGACAAAAAAACTTAATTCCATACGATCACCGCACAAAATTCATAGCCATCATCAACAATATCCGGATGGTTGATGAAGAAAAAGATAATAACTTTTTCTTTTCTCTATACTTACGTTCGATAAGTACAAGCTACAATGATTATTGTTGGTCAAAATTTGTAGTCTTTGATTTCTTACCTCGTCGGCGACAAAGATTATTATACACGTGGACCTCGAATCGAAGGTTTTTCCGATCTTTACAACTTAAACTAGATACTTATTGTAGTACAATCATTGTACCATTTGTACCTCTGCCATACATCTCAGATAATAGATATATATATATATAAGAATATATATGCGTAGGTTAATATTGACGAATAAAGTATTGTACTGACATAAACATTGACGATATTATAATCCAGAAAGTAATAAGATAAACATACATGAGGTATGATTTTTTTCGGGATGAATGTTTACAATTTTTTATCAAACTTTTTGTTACATTGTTGATACATTAAAAGTATACGAGAAAATTTTAAAGCATTTTCAAAGTTTTACGAGCAAAGGGTTTGATTTTTTTTTTTTTTTTTTTTTCAGTTTACACCAAGTTTATAGAATTCAAACTTACACTCAGCAAAGTCATAATCTTTTTATGATGATAAGAATATTAAATAGTAAACTCAACACTTTGACTTGGAATATTAGCAGCGTTTTTTCATTTCAGTCACGAATCATGTGCCTTATTAGAGACGATGAGAAAATGTAATGAAAATATAATCTATTACCAAATGTTGAGAATAAGTCGTTTTTCTTTAATTTGAGAGGTTTAACAACACGAATCTAATGAAAAGTACCCCAAAGTTTCTTTCGTTACAAACGCAGTCGTAAACTACAAAAATTTTATAAGGTTTTGTTTTTAATCAATAAAATCCGTGGGGCTTTTCGTTTTCAAAGTTTTCTCGTCGCGTATTTTACGTATTTATCAAGAGGAAGCCGTGACCATATTAATTATAGTAAACACATAGCTGTAGTGTTATATTGAGATAATATATTTATTAAGTATGAAAATTGATCTTCCAAAACTATACTGCAACTATTATATACTTTCTTTTACTTTTGTACGAATCCGCCTATAAAGTATGTAATAATAGTCGTATACCCATGAAACTATCAATCCAAATTTAAATTACGTTTTCGTCATTTCCAAAAAAAATATACGCAATACGAAAACCAACATATCGATAACGCTTATTACATTATACGAGATATCAAACGAAAGACAGTTCAAATATTTATGTCTCACCTATTAATCTATGATTAATTTTAATAACAATAAGAGTTTTTGCAAATCCGTAATGTCGACCGTCAAGGCGTCGGAAGTATACTTCTTTTTTTTTCTATTTCCTTCATTCGGGAACTTACCTCGCGTATCGATATTATTGGTAAATTAGTCGTTAAAAAAAAAAATCGATTCATCAAATTTAAAAGAGAAACATATAACAAAATGTATAACAATCAATTTTTCTGTGCTCAATAAACGAATAACCATATCTCCAAAGCATATGACGTGTGTAAAAGGTTTCAGAAGCAGCGATAATGCGGATTTTCAAGGAAGGGGCTTATGCGTCGAGATGAAATGATGAGAAATGTATATCGAGTGTATGAAATTTTAAATATCAAATCTAAGATTGAAGAAATAAGTAAAAAAATAAAAAAATATTATTGTTAGACGTATAAGACGAAGAATTATTGTCATACGCGCACACTTCAGTGCTATACCATGAAATCTTTAAGTAAAAATCTCTATTGTAATTGTTAGTACGTACTGTAAGATTAAGCGATTAATATATTGAAAAGAAATTCAACGACGATGACGACGAGTAGGAGACTTACTTATAGGCAGTCGGCGAGCGAGTGCCGCACTTGTACGGTTATATTGTATTATGGACAATAACAATTATATTATTTAAGCTCCTCAAATGAATAATTTAAACATGTAAAAAAAAAAAAAAAAAAAGGAATAAATAATTGTTTCTTTTAGCTTTGGGTCTTCACTCTGTTACGCACCGCCTATTTATTTACATGTAATGTATCTATAATTTAGTGAAAGTCGCGGTTGTTGGGATTTCGCTTACTTTGCACTACAGAGTGTTTAGAGTGTTTAGAAGTTTATCACGCCTCGGGGAGGATCCCCATCTGGCCAAATTGAATTACAGAGGTTAAGCAAATTATAACCTAAAACTTGACAAGGATACTGTATAATATTGATCAAGTTACAAAACCCAAAGGCATAATGATAAAGTTCGACAAGTGACGACAAAAAAAAATTTACCATTCGTATTTGAAAAATTTGCATCAAAGGACAAATAATAACAATCTAATTAACCTTTGGAATGATCGTTCGCCGCGGGTAAGACATCGGATGCAGGCTTGCTCTTTGAGTCGGATTCTCCTCGTTGAGAATTCTCCTCGTTTCGTAAAAAAAAAAAAAAAAAAAAAAAACCAAAGCCTCGGTGGGGGGGGAACACACAATGGCGCTTCGAGACGGCACGAGAAAGCCCAAACTGCATCTCTCTTTAAGAAATCTTCAGGAAAAGTTCTGTTTGGTGGTCTGGACTTTCCATATCCAGTAGGATCCCATGCAACAACAGTCAATTTTTCTTTATTAAGCTTTTTCACTTGGGGCTCAAAATCAGTCCAAATAGATTCTTAAAAAGACAGATTTGGATATTACTGCATGGGCCTGTTTGGGCCCAGAGTTGAAAGAATTTTTAGGAGACCCTGATTAATCAACTGAAAGAATCTAATTGATAAACAATTAAATGAAGATGTGATTGGTAGAATAAACGAGCAGACCAGCTTAAATCCTTGATTTCTAAATCTATGTAACCCAGCGACCTAAAATATCGGAAAAATTTAAATAATTTAATTAACTTTTTAATGCGATTTAGTAGAAAATTTTGTGCTAAACATTTTTCAAATATTGATTATATAAAGTAGAAGAAATGTATAATGATATAAATATAAATAGCAACATACTGATGAATTAGAATGATGAACTTTAGAATTAGAATTGCTGTTAGCAACATACTGACAATTCTGACGAAGGTTCCTTGAGGTTCTAAATTTCAATCCAAACTATCTGTGATCAATTAGCATTAAAGGCGGTTTAAATATAAACGAGAAATGAAAAGATGTATTAAACAAATACTAACATAAAACGAAAATTTATTGCTTACAATTTATTTTATTTCAAAATAAATGATTGATACAGATTTAATCGCACTGATTAATATTCCCTCTTTTATCTAAGGTGGTAAAAATTGCAAAACTCATAATCTGCAATTATACATTTGCATTATAAAATACTATTTCAATGTGTTTATGTCAAACTCCTTCTTGAGGGCCTTGGCGTGCAGCCAAAAACGCTTATGCTGTTCCTCGATGTGCGAGGTCCGCAGCATGCGTTCGGTAGCGATGCGCTCGATTTTGGAAAACAGGTCGCTGTGCACGGCTATGCACTTACGAAAGTCCTTGCGATCGAGCCTGTACACCTCGCACACCTCGACCGCCACGACGCTCGCGACTCGCCTCTGATCCTGAACTAAAAGAGCCACTTCCCCAAAGTGCGCCCCATCCTCCAAGAAACAGACCTGCCGATCGAGGATTGGATCAATTGTTGTCGAGCCGCACAAGTGCGTATACCATATATGTACCTCTTTGCCGGTCGGCGTTAGAATGGCGACGGTGCCGCTGGACAAGAAGAACATGCAGTCCCCCTGCATCCCGGCCTTGATGATCATGTCCTTGGCGAGGTACAGCTCGGGCTTCAAATTGGCCACTATCTGGGTCAACGTGTGCTTGGGCAGGTCCTGGAAGATTTCCACGTTCTCGACTAGCCGCCGACAGGAGTGCAGGATCACCTCTTCCCTCAAGGAGGCTTGAAATAGTCAAATTGTCTTTCATCCCTCCAGCAGTACATTATGTGAAAAAAAAAAGAAGAGAAAAATCCAGTTACCGGACAAGTTGGACAAAATCTTATTTTCCCGGAAGTAGCTGTCCCGGAAGCGGTAGTGGTAGTAGGCCAAGAGTCGCTGCTTCATGTACGGAGGCAACTGTTTTTGCCTGACGAAAGCGGACAGTTGGTTGACGATCTGCTCGTACTTGGACGCCGAGGCTTTTCGCTCGGCCACTATTTGCAGCAGCATGACTACACACAGGATGTACCAAAAGTATTAAACAAATGGGGGGGGAAAAAAAAATCACATCAACGACAATGTTCTTGTAGTCACCTATGATGTAGCTTTCGAACAATCTGCCGAGGACCATGAGGATGGTGCAAACTGCGATGTGGCCCTCGGTTTGGGGCTGGAGACCGCCGTAACCGCTGGCCGTGAAATTTTCGAGGACGATGAAAAGCGCGCGCTGGTACCTTTGCGCGATACCCTTGAATCTCAAGCTCAGCAGCCAAGTTTCGCTCTCCTGGGAAATTACTTCGTTATAGATTTTATAGCGCTGTAATCGACGTGAAATCGGTTGGACGCACATCTTGCGCTTCCTCCAGCACGTGAACCATGATCCGAGGTGTGATATTGCACAGGCAAGTGAACCAGTGCACTATGAATGTGTAGAGCAGTAGCGTCAAAAACATGTGGCACGATATGTCCTCGCCGTAGTTCTGCAAAATTAAATGGCCCTCCTTCTTATACTCATGCAATCCAATAAGGAAACAGTATGATCAGATTTGTGTATATATTTACTTGAAAGAATTGCTGTATGTACAATCTGAAGGTGAAGTATCGGCTTAATCGCAACAGAGGGATCATATTGATGTATACGAGGGGTCCGCTCGGCGACAGCGTGCTCCACAGAGTTAAGTAATCGTAAACGATTGTGGACGTAATATCCACGAGCATGTACCTTTTCGAGTAACGCCTGTGGGTCATTGCGAATATTTTTCTTTGTAACACAACTATATACATATCTACATAGGTAAGTTTATCGTTGAATGAATTGATGTATAAATAAACAAATCGGTGTATTTTACTTGAGAATCGTTACTTGGTCCATCACGAATTCGTCCTTTTCTCTATCGTAGTAGCCAGTGATACAGTTTCCGAGTATGTCGATCCAGGAGAAGATAGACATGATCAGGTTTAGTACAAAAAAATTGCGCGTCTGGTGTTCAATTATGACGAAACACATCATAAACGGGATGAGGGTGAATTGGAAAAAGTACAAGACCACCATGACCATTTCCCAAAACAATCTGAAAGTGACGCGTGATTTCGAGAGTTTATGAAAAACAACAAAAAAAACTTTGATGGGTTGTACCTCATCTTACTGAAGGGATGAACGATCCACCACTGCTTGTGGGACTCGTGGCGTATTTTTTCCTTATTCGCCACGGCGAAGCTGATGAGATACTTTTGGCACTTTGGATGGTTTTCGGATATGGTGCTCCACGAGCGAAGCAAGCTTTTGATCGGTGCTAATTCACCCTTGGGCTTTGAGATTATGAAATCGGATCGCCTGGTCAACTCACAGCGGTGCGTTCCAAACATCTTTTTTTTTTCGCTTAATAAGTAGCCAAAATAGTTACTTTTGCGTGTCGTTTAATGGTTTGGCTGTACTTTAACCTTGAGTATGTGTTGCACAACTTTTCACGAAAACAATTGAAAAACGCGATGAATCAGAGGGAGAGAAAAAAATGTATAGATTTCAGTGTTGAACGTTTCATCAATTTATTTAAAAAATTTTCTGATTTTCCATGAGGAATCTTTTTTTTCGTCATTTGTTGATTTTCGCATTGTGTAAAAACATTAGTTACAAGGAATTTTCAAAAAATTCTAGCAAAATGTTTTGTTTTTTTTCTCACTTTTTTACATAGTTTATACATACGCATCTCTCGGACAATCCAATCCATTTAGTCGGGCGATTTTTAATGAGAACTTTTTGAGCCATTGAAAGCTACGTACATTAAAATTTACTAATACAATATGTAGAAACGACTATTTGGATTTTTTATCGTTGATTCAACTGTGATTTTATTTTGCTAAACAAATCGTTCATTCCTCTGTCACCGGGCGGGAAGCTAGAATTATTCCAAGAAACTGCAACGATTTCGTATGACAGGGATCTTAAATAATCATAACAAACCGAGAACGGGCCCAATAATTCGCCGGTATTGCGGCCAAACATGTATGGTGGTAAATTCAATAATATGACACTGAAAATGTAATAATAAGAGTATTAATTTCAAAATAAAAAAAAAAGACAAATGGTAGTGATCTTTCTTACGCTTTACAATCATCTGGAACATTTAAATCTTCAATGTATTTAACGTCTTGGTCGATGATTTGAGGAGTGAGGTGTTCATCATTTTTAAATACAAAAACGTGATCTACAAAACAAAATTTAATACAATTAACTTTGAAGGTATGATAGTAGTTTTATTATTGTGCCAATATCTTACCGAGTTGATGATATAATTTACTTCGAAGGTTTGTTTTAAAATATTTTGGACCATTAAGCATCTTTTCAAGACTGTAATAAAACTGGAAATCTTTTTTCGGACTTTGATTAACTTTTTGTAATGCTTCTAGTGGCGGCTTAGGCCCATTATAATTTGGTAACGTTTGTAATATTTGCCACAACCTTAGATATGTGTACTGCATTCTTAATTTTGACCGGCTAAAATCTGTTTTAAAAACTTGCTCCAAAGCTAATGAATCGTAACAACCAATGCTTGCTAAGTGAAAGGAATATAAGAGTTGTGTTTCAGAGCTGCTTCCAAGTATTTCGCCGTTCTGATAGTATTTATATATGGTGTCCCAAAAAAGTGGTTTATAATTCATGTATGATAAGCCAGTTAACAGGACTAGTAACTTGTGAAAGTTGTACAATTTTGTTGTATCATTCATTTCGTATTCTTCATAAAACACTGCTGTTAAGTAATTTAGCAAACCTTTGTTCACGTGATTTACTTTGTTAAAGTAGGATAAACACACAATACCATCATCAAAATTGAATTCTTCTTTTAATATTTTTTCTGCAATTTTGTTGTACAAAGTACTGTTATAAAATTGTCCATCTCTGAAAAAAATTATAAACAACACTAACGAATAAAACAATTTTTCAATCTCAGTAATGATTCAATGAAGTTATTTCAAAGTTTCGACTTACCTATCGACAACAATTTTTTTATTCAACAGATTCAATAAAAAAAGAATATCTTGTTTTTTTATATCTTGAGCATTCTGTATCAATTTTTCATGAGTTTGATGAATAAGTTTGTACCATGTGGTTGGAGTTTGGTCTAAAATAGACATGTCTTTTAATAACGTTACAGCTTGATTCGTTGAAATTTTATCTAATTTGCAATCCTTTAAAGCATTTACAATTGGAAAAATGATATTCTGACTTCGCAAATATTTAGTTGCATAGTACAAAGCATCAGCTAAAAACCTTTCATCCTGTTTTTCAAAGTCAACATTTAATTTAACAATGAATTTTTTGTTCAAACTTGCAGATATTCTGTGAGTTAATGAGGATGGTTCCATTTTTGAAAGAAGTTTGGATAAAATATTAAAGTCTTTCATTGTTGAAGTGTCTAAAGCGGATTCTATTTGTAGTAAAAGTACCATAATAAGTTTAGAGTCACTAGGTGTTTCCAGTTTCAATAAAATATTTAAAATATCTATAGCCTCCTTAACATGTATTTTTGAAACATTTTCAATAATAGTTGTACACAAGTCCTTAAAATAAGGTTGATCATGTAGCTGTTCTGTCTTTAATCTGTTGTTTCTTGACAAATTCCATAGATCCTTTAATACTACAGTAATACTATATCCACTAATATCTTCTTGTTGAGCTTCCAAGAAAGTTTGAACACTTCGTGGGACAGGTGCAGAAATAATTTTATTTTCATTGAAGATATCACTGGTACTTACATTTTGATTCAGTATTTGATTTGCTAATAAAAAAAAAAAAAACAAATATGTAATATATTAAAATAAACATAGGATTAATAATTCTGAGAGTACCTACCTTTAAAATGCTCATATCTTTGACATCGATTAATAATTTGAAACTGAGAAAGAGACACTAAACTGCTTAAATTTCTTGATAAACCAAATATCCTTTTAGCTAACATTTTTTATAATGAATTTTTATTTCTAAGTAACCCGCAAGTTTTTTTCAAACTATAACCATCTTGGTGCTACCATATTCTTTAAAAAATACGATCCTTTCATAACAATCGTGATTTTTTTTGAATGAGGCAAATTTTTTAACCAATTAACCACGTGTGCTGTACAACAACACACTAGGGCATTATCTAATCAACTAGCAAGTCGTAGCCACATTATTTATAAAACGATTTTACTAGGTGAATTTGACAAAAATGAGAGACATTTACCTTGTCAAGTACAATTGAATAACAAAATCAGATCTAAATATATATATATATGTATATTTTTCAAATTACCATTGCATCATTATAATTAGAGCAATGATGCGTAATTATAGCATCAGCAAAATAACCGGATGACACTTTGTAACATTGCAGTAAAACCGATTTCCAACCTTTTGTCCGTTTAAACTAATGCTCCCCATTTATCGAGAGCCGACATATAGGGCGATGAAAAAAAATTTTTTGTTGTTGTTTGTTAACCGAACCAAACTACAGTTAACAGAAAGGTTACACCTAACGTGTATTACACAATTTTTACCAGCCGAAACGTACCGGCTGATTCAAAACACGGAATTATTGAAAAAAAATAATATTGTCTGTGCTGTTTGCGGCAAGTTTACAATGTCTTTTACCCAAAAATCGACCTCCTATACATTTATACTTTTGAAGGTAGATTTTTGGGTAAAAGATAATATGTAAATATTTCAACACAATACATCATTTTAGTTATTGAGCAACATTGGGATTTGGCTCCTAAATATTTGTACTTTTGGAGATAGGTGTTCGGGTAAAAGATAAATTGTCAACTTGCCGCAAATAGCACAGACAATGTCAATTTTTATTTTAAATCTGNTAGAAGATTAGTTGCGGCTGGTTTATAATTGATAACATGCCTCTACTGTAAGTTGTTAGTTGTAATAATTGTTTGGATCAGCGCCATCTAGCGGTCTTTATTTTTTGGCCAAAAGTGGCCTCTAAAATTCTGAGTCGGTGCTTTAGCGCTTAGAGCCATTTAAAATTTTATAAACCAGCCGCAACTCATTTAATAGCTATAAAATAAAAAAATAATGATACATGTGTTTTGGGCGGCAAGTTAACAATTTATTTTCTACCAAAAAATCGACCTCCTATGTATGAACACTTTTGAAGATAAATTTTTGAGTAAAAGATAGACAGTTAATCTGCCGCCAAAAACACACGTATCGTTATATTTTTATTTTATAGCTACAAAATGAGTTGCGGCTGGTTTATAAAATGTTAAATGGCTCTAAGCGCTAAAGCACCGACTCAGAATTTTAGAGGCCATTTTTGGCCAAAAAATAAAGACCGCTAGATGGCGCTGATCCAAATAATTATTACAACTAACAACTTACAGTAGAGGCATGTAATCAATTATAAACCAGCCGCAACTAATCTTATAGATAGAAGATAAAAAGTTGACATTGTTTGTGCTGTTTGCGGCAAGTGTACAATTTATTTTTTATCGAGAATCGACCTCCAAAAGTATAGATATTCTACTTTAACTTTACTGCAAACAAAGTGTATGAACTTTTACAACATTCAGTTAAGTGATTCAAATTCAATCTGTACATAAAAACTAGCTGATTGTTCCATATTTCCCGCATATTACACTGACAACGCCATACTGCCAACTTAAATTCATACAGTTTTGATGTGTACCTTCATTAGTAGCATTATTTAAACAGTATATTTTTATATTAAGATCAAACGTAATATAAAGTTATAGAGCTAATGAGTTTTGGAAACTTCAGTCCAAAATCTTCACAAAATCATCAAAATGCGTGTCTCCAAAGATTATGTGTATGTGCATATTATTAATTTAAGAAATCCCCACTTTTATTATGAAATTTTTCTTTTATTTAGTATGAGTATGGGTGATAAGATTGTAGTCATTCGAATTTTAGATTTTGTATTAATTTAATTAAAAAAAATCTATCAAATACGAAGCAAGCTATAATTGTAACCATTTTTAAAAATTAAGTAATTACAATACTTATGACTTCAGATTATTTTTAATTAAAAAACACTGAAAAAAATAAAAAAATATAGTCTGCGATTGTTTTGGCATAAAAATATGACTTGTTTTTTATTTCCTGTAATATGTATCATGTATATTCCATAAGAAATTTTTCTACCAGTTCATTAAATTCTTCAACATATTGCAAATGCAAGTTGTGCCCTCCATGTTTGAATATTTCTATCCTATAAATGAATAAAATAATAAACCCTTGAAACATCAGGAAGTATTTCTAAAATACTTACAACAAAAGGAAAAAAAAAAAAAAAAAAAAATGGAATACCTTGAATCGTTGATTTTAGGTTTTAAGTAATATGGATGTTCAGGTAAAATCATGACATCTTTTAGACCATGTATTATCAAAGTTGGACACTTAATTTTAGTTCAATAATTTTTGCAATAATCTCCGTTATTCCTTTGATAGATAAACTTTACCCCGTCTATACAATCACTCCAAATTTTCCTGAAATGTTTTTCTCCATACTGACGATTCTGACGAAGGTTCCTTGAGGTTCTAAAGATAAACAATTCGTGTACTGTATGAGATGAATTTCAATCCAAATTATCTGTGATCAATTAGCATTAAAGGCGGTTTAAATTTAAACGAGAAATAAAAAGATGTATTAAACAAATACTAACATAAAACGAAAATTTTTGCTTACAATCTATTTTATTTAGTCGAGCTTTCAAATACACAATAAATGATTGATACAGATTTAATCGCACTGATTAATATTCCCTCTTTTATCTAAGGTGGTAAAAATTGCAAAACTTATAATCTGCAATTATACATTTGCATTATAAAATACTATTTCAATGTGTTTATGAAAATTTTATAAAAATGATGTTTTGTTTTACTAGAAGTTAACATAATTGTATAAAACTAATGAGTCTTTGAAAAGTTGGTCTATGCGCTTCACAAATCACAAAACGAAATTATTGATGTATCCCCTTACAACGTTGAACTTATAAAATAAATAAAAATAAAAATTTACTTTTCTTAGTTCATACACTGTTAAATTTTAGAAAAATTTACTTGGCTGGGTAATAGAAATAAACCGACCTACACAACTGCCATTGTAACTATATAAAAGGTGAAGTCGGATTATTGCTAACAACTATAGCAAATTTAAAAAAATTTGTTTAGTGTATTGAGAAATCAAATATACCTTTGAAAATTTGTTTAAAAAATAAATTGATTGCATTTAAATTGACTAAGCGATCTTAATGATACTCAATGAAAATTCCAAATTGAGAATAATTTTTATAATAAATATCTTTTTTTAATTGCTCTAAATTGTTAAGAGTTTAATTTTCCAAAACATATTTTGAGAAAGAAAATCTTAATTTAGGTGGATTTAATGTTTTGCGAAAGTTGTGATTGCTTATCATGAGTCTTGAGATTTTGCTTGTGCTTTTTGATATTCATCAGTCAAATGTTTCTTATATCTCACTTGGTCACTCCATAGTTCTGCTGCTTGAGGATTGAGAGGACTGTCATTGTTGGGTTCTGAAATATTTGTAATAATATTTAAGTCATTTTGCACGTAAGTATTTTAAAATTACATTTAATCTATCAAGAAACCAAACATCTATTTTAAATTACAATTTTTTTTTGTTAGTTAAAATGTGACACAAATAACTTTTAGAGAAATTTTAAAGTTCATGTTATTCAAAAATATGTTTTTTTTAAGTTTAATTACTCGTGAAAGAAATGTTTAAAAAAATAGTTTATCCTTTCGATAGATGATAGATTGCAGAACTGTTCTAAGAATATAACCTTAACATTGACTTTTTCTGTGTAGTAAAAATGTCTAAAATTTTACTCATATATAACCCAGTCAATAATATCAAATTTAGTTTTATGCTTTTGAGTAATAGTATTGCTCTTATGTATTACTTTTATTTAATTTAATCAAACATTCTTCAGTATATCGAGTATTTCTATCTCTTCCTGCCTATAAAGTTGTTATATATATTAAATAATAATTAATATGTCACAAGTACTGTTTGTAGGTTTACTCAATTACTTCAATTCATTCTAAGAAAAATAATTTGATTTTTCGAGCTTAGGAAACAATATTACTTTTGATGCATAAAATCCAAAAACTCACCACCAAGGAGTGACTGAATGGATAACAGTATGGTACGAACATCATAGAGCGCACTCCATTTGTCCTTAAGTATATCCAAACATATATTTCCCATGTTATCAACATTAGGATGAAAACACGGGGTCAAAAAGCGCACTACTGGTGCACTGTATGGGTAACTATGTGGAAAATCCATTGTCAACTTGTAAGTTAAGCCGTCATATACCTGAAAGACAATTTTACTCGTTACTATTGGAATAATCATTTGTGATTCTGTTAATGAATTGAGTATTTCTTTTTGTCCGTACAGTATCTACAGGGCCATTGATGGTTCCAATCCATTTAAAAAGATTCTCTCCCTCGGGAAAGGCAGATACTCCCTTATCCGAGCTCATCATCAATGTCATGAGTTCTTTCTGCAAGCTGCAAATATAAAAACAACGTTCATTAGACTCAATCTTTAGTTCTTAAACAATGGCTGTATAACTGTATGCTGAAGTATCAAAAATAATAAAAGGCAGGGATGACTTTACTTCCTTCATACTCTATCTTTCTCTTTCTACTTAACCTTCGCTCCCGAAAAAAAAACAAGAGCCAAGAACCAAGAAGAGAGAAAGGGAGCGAAAATTGTCTCAAGGTAAATAGCACGAGTCGGAAAATGTTTCCTAAAACTTACAAAGCACGAAAACACCGACCAAAAAGTGATCTGGCGCTCGATTCTTTTCGAAAACAAAATATTCTTGCTTGTGATATCACTGATTGGAAAAGCTTACCGTTTGCTCACTGCGTGATTATCTTTGGGCATGTTCAGTTTTTCTTCGCGTCCCTTGCTCGGCATCCCGTGCGACGAGAAGTGCGGATTTATGTTTTGCGCCATCATACACCTTCCTCTCGACGAAGACGACGATCGTCTCCTCAAGAGACCTCACCTCTGTATAGGGTGTCCCCGCTTGGTGGTCTATCTACAGCTATACGTAAAATAATCTTGTGACGATGATGATGATAATGTATGTTATATATTTCAATATACTGTGTTGTCGTGCATGCACGTAATATATAAGTATTAATGCTGTTCCTTTTTACGGATCGTCACGTTGAAATGTAAATTTGTTGCTGCTTCGATTCACCCTTTAGTATACCTATATGTAGACCGATGTGCGATACCAACAGTACCACACCACAACGCAAGTACCTATATACACACGTAAGCAATATAATTCCAACTGGGTTGCTACTGCAATTTTTGAGATAAAACACGCTCGAGTGCGAACGTAACTTAAATATTTCGTTTAGCAAGGATACACCGTAGAAGATGAGTATGCGTGTGCCCTATGTATTACTTTATTTGCAACTCGCGACCTGCTCGCGACAGTCGCGACTCTTTTACTTGAAGTAAGTATAGTTGCGGGCGGGGAAATTCTTTTTCACGATGCTCTCTTTCTCTCTTTCTCTCCTACGCACGAGGCACGAGTCGCACGACGCATCAGTGTATATATATAGATAGAGAGAGAGAGAGAGAGTGTTGTACGCAGTGTAGTAGTATAGTATACCTGCTATGTAACGTATATATTATACATGAAAACTTCGTATCTGTTCTCTGATTGGTCTGTCTTTCATCGGGGAAAATTTGAATGTATACGTGCGCTGTAGCCAAAGGTTGGAATTTTCACCGCCTGACGCCGTGACGCCGTGTGTGTTGTCAACAGCTGTTTCGGTTTCGGTTTTGTCTTTTCGTCTTTTGTCGGAATTGACTTTTAAATTACTTATTCGCGCCTGCGTCGTAAAATTGGAGTAATTGGAGACATTTTGATTTTGAAGTCGTTTTAAGTTGTTTTCAAAAGTAGTACCCATGCAATGCTATGAAAAATTGATGGAGTGTTCCACACCAGTTATACTTAATGTTTGTTGAAAATAAAAAGCATGCGCAACATTTCTTCCTGTAATTCTTGCTTGACTGCTTGTACGTATTGCCCTTCGTCCCGATGATTTTGGTCTCGGTTGTAGACTACAACTTGTAGTCGGGTCTCGTCTATACTTAGTTATCGCTTCTGCATCTGCATGCAGAACGTGGATATTTGTCTCTCTCGCACATTGCCAAAGGTGGAAACGTTCGATGTTGTGTCTTTTTCTAATTTGGCTTCAGCGCCGTACATAAGAACGAGCAGTCTATTTTTCTTACATGTCTATGACTAGTATATAGTCCTCTAAGCAGTTAAGCACGTGACACGTGACCGTCAGCCACAACAGACACAGACATCACTTTTTAGTTTAGAATTTAAATCGCTAGATGGCGCTGACATAGAAAAAAAAGAAAACGTGAATTATACCGGGATAATTTGATTCATCCGCGATCGCGTCGTACAGCTTTCGGTCTGCTTTCAGTAAAATTTTGTTTTCCTACGTTGCTTCGATTTTCTTAATTCTACCCTCAATGTTTTTTCTTTATTTTTAAAAGTTGTTGATATTGTTTATGTCGTGTGGGGGTGACTTGATTCAAGAAATAAAATCATCCATTGGTGGATTGTAAAATAAGAAGTAATGCCTTGTGGCCTCAATGACGACTTACAAAAATGTGCGAAATGAGGAGCCTTAGATGGAAAATTATTTACACTTTATCGCAGGATGGGGTGCCGGTAATTACTTGTATTTATTAGTTTTTATTGATTTAAAAGCAATTACGTTTTAACACAATTTAAGGGTCGCTCGGTGTGTTAGTGGGCCATCCACTGGATACCATAAAAACTCACCAGCAGATGAGCAATCGGAAGTTAAGGACAAGGGATGCGTTGAAGAGAATCATGAGAAACGACGGAGTGAATACAAACAAAACATACTTGAATAAGTTTAAAAAGCTTTTCTTTTTTCCCCTCTCTTTCTCTTTAACAATCAGTCTATTGTGTCCATAATAATAATAATATGTATAGTATCACTACGGTTTTTTTTGAATAAAAAAAAAGGTTCGATGTTTTTCATAGATCAGGGGCTTTTACAGGGGCATGTCCTGTCCCTTGGTACACTCGGGCTCCTTGAACTCGCTGTTTTTCGGAGTGTACAACGCCTCGTTGACGTCTCTGCAATCCTCGCGTGGTCATGACGAAAATCTTCCGAGTAATCGTGGCTGGCTGCTGGACAACTTCGTTGCTGGTTGTCTTGCCGGTGGAGCACAAGCTTTGATCACTTGTCCGAGCGAATTAATTAAAATTAGAATACAACTGGGCAAAGGTGCTTTTTTTTAAACATAGAAACATCTAAACGCTCGGGATTTTGACTAGTGTTTTGTTTTTTTAGGATTAATTACGTACATTAAAACTGAGCACTATACCTTGGCAAGGGTTAATACTTTTTTAACTGTTTTGGACTTGTACAGAAAATACGGAATTCGTGGCCTTTACGTTGGATGGGTTCCAACGATGTGGAGGTTTGAAACAATTTTTTATGTGGTAATTTTTCAAAATGCGAACATTCAACTTTCCGTCAATTGGTGAAATTGGTGGTACAAACTTATGGAGGAAAAAAAAAAATATATTAAAAATCAAATGTAGAGATGTAATTGGTGGTGGTGTGTACTTCTCGTCTTATCAGTTGACGCATCATTACATGTACGGCACGTTGAATCTCACTCCTGGATTTTTTGAAATTCTCGTGGCGGGTGGTGTTGCTGGTAACTTTGAAGTTTTATTTTCATTTGCAAAACAGATTTTGTATAGCGGATTTTATCAATTTTTTTTCTATTTTCATTTTTTTTTTTTTTTCTACATGAGCCTTTATTCATTAGGCTTAACATCGTGGATTCCAGTAATACCGTTTGACACAATAAAATCCAGGATACAAGGCGATAACTTTGCAAACCCAGCATACAAAGGCATGATCGATTGTAGCATCGATTTGTACAAACACTCGAGCTTTCATGGATTTTTTAAAGGTTTTTTCGTGATTATATTTCGTTCAGTACCAGTAAATGTTGCAATCATGTCTGGTTACGAACTAATATTGTATATTGGCAAGAACTTCAGCGTGGATGATTTAAAAAAATATTTTTAAAAGTCTTGGAATCTTGTAAAATTTTTGTTGAATAAAAAAACAATTTTCCACATGAGAAACTGAAATAAATAAAGAAGAAAAAAAAAGAGAGAAAAATAAATTATAAAAAATGTAGTTCTTTTTGGTTGCTCCATTGAAAAACCACAACTGTTTTTATTTTTCATCTTTTGTACAGCGAACTATGCAAATTTTTTTTTTTTACGAACACTAAAACTAATGGTAAATGATTTGCATATAGTGAATGTAAGACATTTTTACTGCCCATGTATTCATTATCTTTTAGCTTTTCATTTTTTCTTCAATTCGTATTGGTTTGTATGTGTTTGTTTAATGAATTTGTGAAAAAAATCACAGAGTATAAAATAACGCAAACACCTATTTACGCTTGTATGTATATATTAGTATCATGATTATTATCATCATCATCATCATCATCATCATCATCGCATTCGCAGCAGACTGATTTTTGTCTTTACTCTACTATTAGTTTTTTTTTCTTCTTGATGTTTCTTTTTCTACATTTACGGGATGTTACATCATTTACAAACCATAACGATCGACGTAAAGACCTTACATATTATATTTTAAAGTTAATTTTCTTATATCCTTGATTGCGGAAAGGAGGAGAAGCAAGCCGAGAAAGACTTAAAAAAAAAAAAAAATTAAAGTATTCAATAACAATGGTTAAATTTTTCGCTTCTTTCTCAATAATGATGGTAGAAAAAAAAAGTTATCATTGGATTTTTTATTTATATGTTTTTAGCGAATGATCATTCTGTTGAACGACTAATTCGCGATCAACGTGTTTTGCTTTTTCCTTCTTCTTCTTATCGTTAATACTTGTAACCATTCATCCATTATCCGCTATTACTATCATTATTATGCATTAGTAAGAAATTTTTTTTCAAAACGATCCCACGAAGCAGTCCCCGGTGGGAGCACAGCTCCGAATAAATCTTATGCACTGTATCTCTATTATTTAATATATTTATAAGCAACTGAATTATTATTTTTTTTTTTATTGTATTTGTTCCTCGCATATTTTATTCTTTATCTATTTATTCATTCTTTATTTAAAATACATGTATCATCCTTCTCTCGCACTCTTTCGCTCTTTATTCATTTATCTTTAATGTAATATTCTCAATGAATTCACTCTTACTTAATAATGTTATTTTGTGAACGTCTGCATTATTTTCCACGATTTTTTTTTTCTCCTTTGAAAAAAGTACGCTCGTAAACTTATGGTTATGCAGGTTAGCAAGTGATAGAACATACGTTCCGTCTTTTTTTAAAAATTTCTTTAACTTCATCATTATCATCGTTACGTTGCTACATTTTTTATGTGTGTTAGTCGTGTAAAATGTTTGTTTCGTGTGTTGTCTCTCGTGATACGGTGAGGTTTCTCTTGTATTCATCGATACTACTATACTTAATTGTATATTGTTTTTATGTATATATTTATTTTATGTATATAATTATCGTTATCATTAATACGAATATATGGTACATTTCAAACAACGCCCCTGCCGGCCGAAGTCAGAGGCGATGATCGACGTAAAAATGGGCCCCTTTATTATATTAATTTTTTTTTCACTCATTTAGAAATTAACACGACCAACTCTGCAACTTGCAGTTTACTGCAATTGCACAGCACTAAAACATTATCATTTTTCTTCTCTCTTTCTTTTTCTCTCTCTCTCTCTCTCTCTCTCTCTCTCTCTTTTATTTACTGTATTCATGAAAATAACAGAGGATCGAGACAATGACAATGTTACCAGAGCCTATTTTTTATTATTTTATCAATAATAATATCAATGCGATCGTCTCCTCCGACAAAGCACGGCTAAACATAATTAAAGAAGGGACTAACATTCTCATATTATGTGCTGACATTGAATACACCATACAACTAAAAAATAATCATTGCTGTCGAAAAAAATAAAAATTAATATACACATAAAACTAATAGAAATCATCAATCATTATTAACTTTTTCTTATTTTTATGAATCAAAACCACGAGTACATGATTTTTTCTCCACTTTAGCTTGTTCAGAATGCCTGTCACTCTGCACGCTTTTTGTGCCGCATCCTTTACTTCTCTTTCCTTTTCACTGATCGCCCTTAAGGCACAGCCTTTTTTATGTAAAGAAAGAGTTAATTTACGTCAATAATTTCCATTGTTAAGCATGGCTTTTTTTCATTCTTCACTAACAACTTTTTTTCTTAATTTTATGCATTTATTGTAATGGACAACTGACGTAAACTAAGGACTAACAGTTGGGCAGCGTGGTAGTGAGTCCACCTGTAATGACAATTTTATTATGTACATTGACACCATCTTGTTTGATTATTAGTATTAAATAATAGCACAACCAAAACAGATAAAATAAAGTGCAGGTTTTAACAAATAAATATTTTTGGTTAAACTTTTTTTTTTACTAATAATATGCATAAAAGTTTGTAAAACGTCACGTTCAAATATTTGAAAAAAAAACTTTCCAAAGCGTTTTTGTTCATGCAAATAGAAATAAGAAAAATGAAAGATTTTCATCTGAAAGCAATTCGAGTCGAAAGGTGTGTATGACGGATGTAAAATAAAAAAACATTGATTTGAATTACACATCATACAGTTTTATTTTATTTTTTTATTTTTTTTCAAGATCCAATCGATCGGTATACACGTATACGTGACGTAATTGCGTAGATAGATTCGAAAAACCGAGAGGGGATCGACGAAAGCGCGGCACAGCGTATTTTATAATCGTTAAATCGGCCGGGAGTTTAATTCGAATAATCCGATTTGGCGAAGCTCGCCTGTACATGTGTATTGTAGGTATGCACACAAAATGGGCCATTGCATCGGATATAAATAACGAGTTGGATTATACCATTATCATCGTGCCATTACGACGTTCATTTAGGGGGGGAACAACCTCGCGGGAGTGAAAAATATACCATTGTAAATATATAATACGCTTTACGATTAAAGTCGGCGTTTAGAAACTGTACGCGGTCAAGCTCACCGCGCCTGGCGTTAAATGATAATCGGACCAATAATGCGCGCTCCACGCGTTAGTTGTAGGTATATACTGATGCACTTTGAAAATTACACAAAATCCTTTCACTCCGCTCGAGCTTGAAATTGCAACTCGCCTAATTGCCTTTCTCACTCTCTCTCTCTACTTATCTCTCTATTTCTCCAAACGCGTCCTTTTGCACGAAATCATCGAGTGCCAATCAAGTCTCCTAAACCACAAATCTCACTGTAAGTATACCTACTTATCCTGCTTTCGCAAAATATTTCGTTTTAACACGTCAAAGTCAAAGGTTTAATGGATTACGTCCAAAANCCGTTTTTTTTTTTTTTTTTTTCCTCGAACAAAGAGTGAAAAATGAAAGTTTATTTCCAGCAAAACAAAAGCGACGTCACCGCTGCAATCGTCAATTTGTTGCTTTTTCAATTGATTCAATTAATATTTGTTGGAAAATTCGCGGGACGACCGATAAACATGTATTAAGAGCAAAATTCATTCAGCAAATATTGTATCGGTGCTTTGAAAGAAAAAGACAATTTTTGCAGTCACACTTGTCAGCTGCGAACACGCTCTCTCGCATCTATATACTTAATTCACGGAGATTTGAACTTAACGAGCAGTAATGCTCGTTGTGTCTCTCAAAATATATAGTTATTCGGTGGGCACATATAGGGCACGATTATACCGAGAGTTGGATGGCGTAGGGGACGGAGAGCACTGATTAGCAATTTTTAGTAATATCTACACTATCATATGTATATATATCCAAATTAATTTTCTTTTTTTATTTATTGCAGCACTTTATGTTTTTATTTGTTATTTATCTGAAATTTGGGGTATTCAAATGAGAAGTTTCATCTTTCTTCTATGTGCATGTAACATTTAGTGAAATAAGGAATTTACCAGCTCATGGGCGAGCACGCGTCGTCGTGGGTGCAGTTGAGGCAGGAACTGGAGTGTTTGTATTTGAAGTCGCATTTGCATTTGCACTCGTGTTCATATTCGTGGTTGTATTTGCGTTTGTATTGGTAGTGGTATTCATATTCGTGTTTGCATTAGTAGTTGGGTTTGACAACGTTGTTGTGAGAACTTGGCGTCGTTCAACCTCTAGTTCGTTCAGTCTCTTCCACAGTTCTTCCCTCTCTTTCTCCTTTTTCTTTTCTCTACAAAAACAATCATTTTATTACATGAATAACTCATTTAGCTTTTTGTTAAACTTTTGTCACCCCTCCAAAAAAAAAAAAAAATAATAATAATAATAATCACACTTACTTTTGCCTTTCAGACTTATAACTGGCAGTAAGCTCATCAAAGAGCTTGCTATTCATCTCCATGAATGTTTTAAGAACATTATAAACAAGCGCCACGATCGTCTGATTCCAATGCTCCTTGCTTATTCTATACAGTGCTGGGAACATTATTCCCATAATAACATGGTTATTTTCCTCGATCAGCGACATTATGTACTCGTTATTCCAGTAGTACAGTGCTCTTTCGGCGACCTGTTGCAGAAAGTAAAGTAAAATCAATGATGAGTATGATGCTGCAAGTTAATTATATCGTCGCGTCATTATTGTAAGACAAGAAAGTGACGAACCTGAAAGTGCGGAGACGAGACGCAGCGCGCGATTTGCCTGAACAGGGGTTCCTGAATTTTGACGAATTGGCTAGGTTCTATTACGTCCAGAATCTCTTCTATCTCGCCCAGAAACATGACCTCCTTCTGACTGCATGTCTTAGGCCAAAATTTCAAGAGTCCTCGCACGACAGGTTCCGTCAGAGTAGCATCTTTCTCGAGAAATTGTACCACACAGTAAGCCAATTGAGCGTGATACAACGACAAGCACTTAACTTTGTGTAGTGGTAACAGCACCTGCAAAAGATAAACACGTTCAATTGGGCTCGTTTATTCGATTGTACGCAAAAGTGTCCACACGGGATTATCCATTGCCTCGATTTAATCGCTTTTTAGTTTTCATCGAGCATTCCAATAGGCGTTCCGATTGTTTTCCGATACGACGTGTTAATATCAAGCAACCTACTTGCAGCCCCGCTACCCGGTATAACCCAATCAACTGCGAAATTGGAATCAAATAAAATAACAACAAAACTTGGCTCTGAGCTCAAGAGAGCATCAGCATTCGTCGCAGTAGGCTATATATCCGCGAAATTCAAGAACCAGCGCGTATATGTATACAACAATAACTGCAACATTGTTTGCTACGAATGACGGTTCTTGCGAGATTGTGATTGATTGGGGAGCTTGAAACTTGCCTTGACCAAAAACTGCTTGTGTTCGACTTTGAGAGGCAGAGCGAATCCATTAATAATGCTGCCCAGGATCTCCAGCAGTTCGCCAACCCCGTTGAAGTGCTCCGTTTCGTACACAAACCTAAAGTGGGCGAACAAAAAACATTTTTAGTTTCACAGATGTACGAATAAAAAGGAGGGCTTGTCAGGTGGTACAGGCGAAAAGGTTACCTGAGGAATATGTTATTGATTTGTTTGCGTATGAAGGCTCGAAGACCAAGGAACTTCCCGTAGATGCGATGCAAGACAGTTTTCAAAAAGTCTCTTTCCCGAGGATCTTCCGAGTCGAACAAATCTAGCAACTGAAAGGAATAGCTCTTGTTAGTACAATGATTTATCTTTGTTACGCTTATTTTTAACAGCCGTGGATGGTAATGTCAAAAAAAAAAAAAAAAAAAAAAANTTTTTAATGTATTCTAAAGTAATGTATTGTCTTCGTTTTAATTTTACAAAAATTACAACTTCTCGATCACAATTTTATCACTAAAAAACTCGTGAAAATTTTATATTTTCAAGATCTAATGTTTAAAAAAAGTATCGAATCAATTACCAAAATTTGAAAGCGCTAAAAGTAGTTTATTAATTTCTGCTCAGTCAACAAGTTACTTGATATCAACGAGCATATACAAAAAATACTCCAGCGTCAATAAATTTTGTTGATAAGGCTACGACCTCAAAGACATACTATCAATAAAATAATGCAAGAAAATTTCTTTGACTGGCAGATTATTACTATTTGAAACCTATTTTCTGATAACATTATTAGTAATTAAATTTATTAAAAAAACTTTCAATAAGGACGTTTTCAACTTCTATTAACGTTTATTATTTGCTTATGATGTTGGTTTGACACATTTGATAACATTTAGAAAATTATACGTTTGATAAATAAATATTTTTTGAAAAAGATAAATAAACGTTTGGTCCCTGTATTTAAAGAAATAATCCAGCCTAAATTGGGGTACATTGGTTGACATCTTGTAGAGTAGAATGAAAACTTGCATACCCCATTAAGCATCTGACATCTGGCGTAATTTGTCTCTATTAAATTCCCTAAGAAGAAATTAATTATTTATAATAAAAATAACCAGGGTAATAAGCAAAGAACTGTGGGACGAATTATTTAAAAACGTCCTCGACACAAATCGGTCCAAAGACGCGAGGTGTGGAGGAGGACGGATTTCAGAGTCGCGCGCTCGGCACACCGTGTTTGAGATACGCGTATACATGGGGTGGGAGGAAAAATACCGATGCTCGCTCGCTGATTGATATCATACTTACATCAGAAATAACTTTCACACCGGCGTTGGCGAACGATGCGATAAGAGATTTTTCCATCTGGGTTTTTTTTTTTTTTTTTTTTTCCTCGAACAAAGAGTGAAAAATGAAAGTTTATTTCCAGCAAAACAAAAGCGACGTCACCGCTGCAATCGTCAATTTGTTGCTTTTTCAATTGATTCAATTAATATTTGTTGGAAAATTCGCGGGACGACCGATAAACATGTATTAAGAGCAAAATTCATTCAGCAAATATTGTATCGGTGCTTTGAAAGAAAAAGACAATTTTTGCAGTCACACTTGTCAGCTGCGAACACGCTCTCTCGCATCTATATACTTAATTCACGGAGATTTGAACTTAACGAGCAGTAATGCTCGTTGTGTCTCTCAAAATATATAGTTATTCGGTGGGCACATATAGGGCACGATTATACCGAGAGTTGGATGGCGTAGGGGACGGAGAGCGCGAATCTTTGACACGACATCTCCTAAATTGTTGACTTTACGGCTCCCGTAGACGCGCGTTTTGAATGACAAGTCCTTCCAAAGAGACCTGCTTATTGTCCACGGGTATTATCCCTCTTTTATTGCTAAACTTTTGCTCAGAGAAAAAGTAAGCCAGCGTTAAACATTCGCTGCTACTTAAAAAGAAAATTTAGCTGATGTTGGCGAAAGTTTTGTTTGCATCGGAAAAACAAAGGTGGTGGTATAACTCAATTTTTCATGAAATCCCGATAAGCGTATACGTATTAAAGAGTGGCGTTGGCGTTATTACCATCTTGATGATTTCGGGATAGACGGCTTCGGTGAGTACCCCCCGACCCGTGGTAATGTACTCGACGAGCTCGTTGAGGGTGCTGCGTTTGATTTCCTTGTCCTTGAGATCCGCGACCGGATCCAAAAAGTCGAAGGCCACGCAGCATTGCCGGAGCTTTCGGATAAACAGTTCCTCCTGCTCCGACGGATTAACATCTGCGTGAAAAACAAAAAAAAACATCATGATGCGTTTAGTCGTTTCGATTTTTTTTTTTTTGTTTTGTTTATTTTCATTCAATTTAACGTAGGTATAGCTATCCAATTGTCACACTGGCAAATCGTGAAATCGGAGCAGCTACTTACGTTGCTAAATTTACAATTCCACTCGCAATTTTGTTATAAGCGTATTGTTGAATTGTATTTAAATTTTTTTTCTCTTGCGTTCGTCAAGTTGTATAAATAATTAGTCAATCGACAATTAAGCAGAGTATACCGAAATCCACTGATGATATTTATATGACGTGTATTTTTTTAATGAAAACTCCCTGTGCTTTGCAGAGTCTCAAAAAATATTTGCTTTTTGAAAATTAAAAACTCTACGTTATATAAATATTTATGAAAAAAAAAAAAAAAAAAAAATTATTTCGACATTCAATTAGCTCATGCTTTTGACAAGGCATCCAGTTGCAACAAAGTTTCCCTGAATTCTTTCAAAAGGTATGAGCCTGTGGGTATACAGCTAATGATTATTTGCGTACAAAATATAAAAATAATAAGAATTGAATGAAAGTAAATGCTTGTGATGTAAGATGATTACATTTAAATTTCAAACATTCATGAATAATATTATACACCAAACATGACTAAAACTGCTTTAATACTACGTATAATAAATTAAGCTCGTGTACTTTGCGTATACGTTTTACTTGGCTCTACAAATTCACTACATCATGATGATTACAATACAGCAGTAATAATAACATTGATTAAAGCTTAAATTTTTTTTTTCCATCGTCACAAGTGACTTTTGTTGAAAAACACATGTTGAAAATAACAATTTATTAGCAAAAATAAATCATTCCTTAATAGTAATATTACGAGTTATTTTAGTAGTTCGTTAATTTGATAAGGCGTTAGTTCATACACTTATGAATTATTTTATTACATGAGTCTTGGTTTAAATATCGAGTTATTTCGAATCTCCGTGGAAATATGTTTGATTATATTATTGAATAACTAAAAGAAGATGTATATTTTAAAGTAATCCTGTATAGAAAAAAAAAAAAAACTTTCTTTAGAACTTCTCTACAACAATTATTCTACACAAAATCATCGCGATGAGCACATGTAAAAAATAAAGATAACAGTAACAACAACAGCAACGACAAAGAAAAAAAAAGTTTAGTCATAAGTGAACAAACACGAGAGTGTATCAAGTGTAAGGAGATAGGGGATGGCCAAACACAGTTACGTGAGCTTTGGCAAAAAAGTATAACAGGACACATTAAAGAGGCCCAAAGAATATTAAAACTTTGGGTGTAAGGAATCACTCGAGCAGGTATGGTGTCACTTGAGAATGCACACGTAGCAGGTTACAAGTATATAATAATAATATACACACGGAGAATGTTCGCGGCTAGCCGAGAAAGAGATGTGTGGGAATAGTTACGTAATAAAAATACCCACTTAGAATTAGTAGGACTCAACGCGACTTTATCGCGTGTATGTGTACACCACGTGTTTGTACTGAGTGTGACAGTCGTAGAAACGCAGCTTAGCGGTCGTTTGTCTGCTTGTGTGGATACGTCTTGTTGTCGCTCTCTACATAATACCCTCGGCCTGTCACGCGATAAAATATAAAAAAGCCCTACGCGAGCAGTGTGCACGGATGTATACGCAAAAGAAGACGGAAGTAAGTGCTTGGTGCGAAAAGTTTTCCGAGAAGCGCGAGCAGAGATTTTTTTTTTCCCAAAATGAAATTTCTTTCCGTAGCGGTTGCGGTGCGATTGCACCAACTTTGCGGATTAGGTTTGTGCCGTGCGGCTTGGCCATTTTCTTGAATCGTCGGGGGAATCCACTTTTCCCCCTCCTTGGTCTGTTGACATTTTTTTCGGGGCTCCCACATTCGCGACGACAAAATTTCCGCTGCCCTTGTTTTTCTCCGTCGAGAGAACCGAACAAATTTCACAGACATACTTTTTTTAATGTATACAGCTAAAAAAAAAAAAAAAAAAAAAAAAAAAAAAAATAGTGAAACTCATAAAAAACCCAGAACCAATCAAAGCAACGGGAACGTACATTATTCAGTGCTGTGGCGCACATTTATCCTCCCAGCCCCTCCGCCCCATCGAAAAGAGCTAGCAAACGCACTATTCTTCGAATCGCTCACTTTAATATACAGTTCACTTGGCAGCCCCGACTCTCTCGCTGCCCATAGAGCGGAAAACTGCTTCTTTAAAATCGATCTCGATAAATACATAGCACGCGGTTCGATGAAAAAAAAAAAAAAAAAAAAATCCAACCAAGGGAAAGAAAAACTTGTTCCTCCTGAACAACAACAATAATAGTAATAGCAACAACAACACTTTGCCCGCCCGTGCTGATCGATATTCCGCGTGAATAAATGCAATAGCCCGATGAAATAACAAATCGAGCCGTTTTTCCATCGGCCGAAGCTCCTCCCTTCGGTTTCTTCTTTTAAAGCTCGGCCCACCGATGTTTCTCAACGAAAGGTTTTTATCGATGACTCGCCTGTTAGCCTCGTTAATTGAACCAAAGAAAGAGAGAGAGAGTCGGGCCATTTTACGGAAACTCGATCCTTTTGGATTCTCTGCATCCGACCGCGCGCGTCTCTTATTATTACCATTACCTTTGTCGTTAAGCGAGCGCTTCAGCAGCATGTGTGTAAGTACCCCGAGGAGGAGCGACGATTTTTCTCGTGACGCAAAAATGAACGAGCGACACTTCGATCTGCGTTACGTCGGTCCAGCTGACGTTGGCCGGTGACGTTCGCGTCCAGATCAAGAGATCCACGGGGGGCTTTTTTTATTCTGCGCGATAAACTCTTCGTTTATCTGTGAAACAAAGTCTCGTTCCCGCGGGAAAATTCAATACCTCCGACGAGCCGAAAATAGATATTATGCGCGCGTTACTCGGTCGCGATCATCCCTAGCACTGAAATCCAGAAATAGGCGAAAAAGAGAAAAAGAGAACGAAAAAACCAACACCGAATATACACGAGAGGCAAGGCTGCGAGAGTGGGAATTGCTAGGGCTGCTAAGCCTCGTAGCGCCGAGAGCAACGCTACAGCCGACCGGATAGTCGCGGATCTTCGCTTTAAATCCACCTGATGATTGAACTTGCGCGCTCGTTTGCTCCGTTATGTGTCCCTCGTTTTTCGCGACCGCGATCACGAGGACTGGGTTAAAAAAATTTTTTTTTTCATCATTTGTTGAAATCACACTTGGCTCGCTTATGCGCTAATGCTTCGGTCTGTTGAGCTATGGAGATTTCGGAACTCTGTTACTAAAAAAAAAATTTAATAAAAAAAAACTCATCTTTGTGATTAGCATTGATAAGGATAAAAAATGTATTGACAAAGAAACCGGATGAATAAACGAAACATAGTTAACTCTCTTGTCTAAAATATAAATGATTCAAATTCGTAGTTTAATTTTGAAAACGATGCTACCTTGACTAATCATCGCACAAATAAAATGCACCTAACTATGATCGCTAATATCGAGTGTACTAAATATATCAGACGAAAATCGGTAATAAAAGTGGGAAAAAAGCGCGCAGCATAAAAATTAGCAAATTGAAGGGACATATTGTGCAAGAAATGCGTTTATGCGTAACGCGTGTACACGCACGTGTACGCGCAGGCGAACGCCACATGGATGTAATTGCAAGCATAAATATACGTAATACGTGCGATGCAGCGCTGTTTCACCACCAGCTCGGCTGCATTAATTGATTATTAGAGCGACGCGCCGATCGCGAGCTTCGTTATTCCCGTCTCTTGCTTTTTACCCTTCCTCCTCCTCTTCTTTCTCGCGCTACCACTGGATTAATTTATAGACGCGCGTCTCTGCTGGCGCTTTGCGAATTCTCCTCTGGTCAACGTCGTTGGAAAAATAGTTCGACACGAGAGCGATTTAGAGGCATCGTTCGGTCGTGGTTGTATGTATTTTACGAGGTAACGTTTGGACGAACGACACGTGGGGTTCACAGTGGTTTTTCTCGCTTATTTTTTGTACTGATAAACTTCTCTTGTTGATAGCTAGGTATGGTATTTTATTTCAGACTCGCTGACAGCTGATGATTTATATGTTGAGGTAAACAACAAGATTTAGTTAGCTAAAAGTTTGCAATGGAAAATATGATGTTTGTTAATTTACTAATGACCGTCAAACGAATAATTACAGGTAATGTGGAGATGGTTAGTTTCGACACATTGTTAAGAGATTAATATTATATACGGGAGAAAAACCAATTTGTTGCTTTCCAACAACTAGGCAGTTTTGAAAATCATGTTATTTTTAATTGATAATTTTAGCTAAAAAGTTTGTATTTTCGATTTAGCATATTTCATATGTGCCTGTCGTACAAGATAAACATGTACTTATCGATCTAATAAATAAATAGTAATTTTTTTCTTTAAAATTTGGTCAAATATTAATTCTATCCTTGTACTTCTTCGTATTCTTTATGACTACATTATGTACAGAGAAAAAAAAACCATATCTTCACAATCAACGACAAGTAAAACTGGTTTTAGGCAGTTTTTTGGTTAAACCAGATACGATACAATTCTTTCAAACTAGGGTTCAATCAATACTTGACGTTCTTCGAACAAAAAGACGACTTGAAAAAAATGTACACAATATAACATCTAACGAATGTTATATTAGGGCAAAGAAAAAAAGGGAAGGTGTTAAACATGCACTGAAAAAATGCTTGTTGGTTATGTTTACTGCAAAGGAGTGACTTTAAAAATTGGTTTTTCATGATATTGAGTACACTGTGACTTAATTTGTGAGCCAAAAAATGTTAGTATCAATTATTTATCAAATGACAACAGTAACTACAACCACCACGTAATAATACAAGAGTAATAACAAGTATGAAACAAACGAATGCTATGCATATATTATGATGCACAATGACCATTTGTTTGGTGGTGATTATAGTTTTTTTTTTTTTTTTTTTTTTTT